CGCAAGCTTTAACAGCTGCATAAGGGGCTGGATTGTGTCCATTGTTACAGGAGGGACATACCCTGCACCTGGGCTTTCCCCTCAGTCTCAGCGTTTAGCCGATTCCCTTGCTGATGCACTGTACGGTTCTTCCTTTGTGGTCTGCGAGGGTATCAGAGTAGTGCGAGACATCCCTCCAGCCCTCTCGGATGCTCAGTAAGTCCCGGACCTTCTCCCTTCTGTGAGGGGGCCGCTGGGTTCTCTGAAGGAGCGCCTTCATGGGTGGGTATGAGTAGTGTGGGAGCTTCGATGTGAGGCTCGCCGTCGAGTGTCCTGGTTCCTGTCTGGAGCAGCGTTCCCTATCTTGAGGGATCAGGTGAGTTATTACCCCTGGATTTCCAGGCCCAGCTTGGGTTAATGCTGATTTCGGCACCTTTCCCGGTCTCCCAGATCCTGATGGGTGAACATCTCCATGTTCTTGTGTAAGCGGCAGGCTCTTGTTTGACTGCTTGTTCTACCGGCGGTGGTAGCTGTCAGCGGTGTTCAGTGCCTCCCGGCAGACTTTTGGCCCGGTTAAGTATGAGGGCTTGCCAATGGGTGTTTGCTCGCCTTCCTTGTACGGAGGGGACCCGCTCACACTGTGCAGTGTAGTTTGTTGAGCAGCAGTCTCTTGTTGGGAGGCTGTAGTCACTGCTCGTGCTTCCAGTTTAGCCCAAAAGCTGGTGAGTATCGCCTCCAATATCTCCATGGAGCGTTCAACAGAGAAGCTGAGGTCACTGCTGGTCGGTGATAGAGTCAGCTCTGCTGGGGGATGTTTGTCTGCCATTTTGGAGGGTTCCGTTGAAGCAGGTGACTCTCGTGAACCACAGGGTTTAACTTGGCTAGTCCACTGGGGACCGGGATAACCCCCATCGGTCCAGAGGGGGGGGAGGAGGTCTGAGGTAATGCTTGTTGATATCCAGGAGAGCGGGGAAGTTGGCCACCCTTCCCACCACCCGGTGGCTTGTAGGCTGCAATTTGTCTCTGTGGGCCCTTGGGTGCTTGAGTGTTATATCGATGCAATCTGCAACTCGTCCCCAGGTAGGGTGGCGAGTGTGGGTGCTCGAATTCAGGCTGGAAATGGGGATATTACCCCAAAGATTGTCGGCTAGTAAGGGAGCTCGTACGGCATGTGACCTCTCAGCTCAATGTAAAGGTCCGCCGGCAGCTACTCTGGTTTTAAATTTGAAATTCACTTTGAATTCTCACATTTAGTAAATAACCCGGTATATAAATCAGTATGCACACAGTACACTTACAAATCTTTTAATGCTACTTAAAGATCTATCTCACGAGATAAATAAGAGGGCTCAGGGATACCATGCAGTTATAATATGCGTTACTCCCCACTACATCAAGAATACCCAGTTATGATAGATTGTGACCTTCTTTTACCATGGAAAATAAAAATGTGATTTACTTATATTAATGCTCAGTCTGTTTCATGAAATACTTCTACAACTAACTTGCTTTTTAAGACACTCATTATGAGGCATCTGCATGTAGGGGCGGATTGACCCCCCGGGCACATCGGTCATGGACCGAGGGCCCGAGTCAGTCAGGGGGCCCGGCAGCACAGTCATGCTTCTGTTGTTGAGAGCAAAGATCTCCTCAGGCAGAGTTCCCCAGTGCCGAGGGAGCCTGGCGCAGGAGAAAGTAAGTGGCTGAAGTGTTTTAACCCCTTCAGCTCAGCGGGAGGGGGGGGGGGGCTGGCACTATAGTGGCACTATAGTGCTTCTTTAATATTTTGTCTTCGAAGGGCCCTGGATCTAATTATGTCCGGGGGCCCAGAAGGCTGTCAGTCCATCCCTGTCTGCATGGGCAGAGTGAGGAACTCTAAGGGAATCTGTTAGTCACTTACCCTGCTCCCCCAACACAATCTCCTTGGAGAGGTTGGTGTTACACTTCTGCAACACCTACCTCTGATCCGCCCGCACTCCTCCCACGATCTTCACTGATTTACACTACTTGGGGATACATTTCAAACAAGGCAACCCTCCTCCTCAATGGTGCAGACACACTGGCTTCGTTGTCATCATGCCGGAGTGATTTTAGTCCCTTTGTTTTGTTTTTTTACTTTTTTCCTCCCAATCCATACATTTGATATCAAAACTGCTAGCACAGTGTATGGATTGCATGTCATGATTGCTTTGGGAGGGTGACAGGTCACCTTTAACCCAAAGAGCATGGTCAGGATTCCAATTATATGTATTTAAGAAGATATGGAAAAAACTGCTAAGAACATGCATTACTTAACTGTGTACTGCCGAGATTACCTCATTTTATACAAATATACAAAAATCACCTATAGCACATATAAATGCAGCTTAAAAATGTTTTACGTTTACTTAAAAACACAAATATAATGAAAAGATAAACCAAGCTGGTCATGCCATATGACCATTTTGTGTTTTTGGGCTTGTTCCTAATATAGTCTTCAAAATACACCAACAGCCAGGAATTTCATAATTTCGTTACTACAGGGATACTCTGGGAACCTGGACTGTTGGTATGCTTTTGAGACTGGGTTGGAAGCCACTGTATTAGACTGAAATATATGTGTAACGTTTCTGGCTCATTGCTGTTTCAGTCTACAGATCAGAAAAAAATAAATATATGAGAAAGTGAAATGGCAGCATGACGTATTAGTAGGAATGTGACTATGAATAAACAAAATGTTTGGATTTCTAGTTTAGAAAATGCATTTCATTAAAGGGGATCTCTGCATATTTTGACTTAGAGTCCAATGGCTGTGGGGTCCTTGTTGAAGGTTGGTTTACTTACCTGGAGCTCTCCCTCGTGGTCACTGCCATCTTCTTCATGTAGATCTTCTACAGCTCCTGATGCTTTATCTCCCAGGAGCCCAAGTCAATGTTCTACTCTCATGCATGTACAGGAGCATAACACTTAGGTCTATGGAGTCTCTCACAAGACCACAGGAACCTTCATAGATCTCATGTTGCGATGATCAAGACCATGCCTTAATTCCCCAAGCCATAAATTGTGTTAGCTGGAATTGGACCAAATTTGATGGAAAAGCTTTGCCTTTTCGTAACCATATATACTATGCATAGATTAATTCCATTTGCTTGCAACGTAACATATCAAAATTAAAAATGGTAACTCTGGCCTTAGTGTCTTTAAAGGGTGTTTCTAGTCATCTACCTAACGTATGTATCCATTTATCTGCAATGGCAAGTTCTGTCTAGTTCCTTAAACAATTCCCATGTGACTAAAAATATCGGTATTACGCTTACCACGTTGAGCATAAAGAAATCAAATGCAATTAAAATCATTTATTTATAACTGCTGAACACCGACCATGCTTTATTTGTTGGGATTTTGCGGTTCCTTACTGAACATTTCTTTCACATTTTCCTTTTGTGACTTGGCTCGTGTTCTGAACTTCTGACCTCAGATTTTGACTTGAGCACGATCTTATTATTCTGACACAATGACCTGACTCCTTCCTTGACCTTTGCTTGATTTCTGCCTGCTCCAAATCTTATTATTCCCTTCATTTCCATGTCTCTGCTGCCTGACTGACCTTTGGACTATCCTGATAATGCTTCTGCTTGACTCTTCTGTTGCCTCGGCCAACCTCTTGTATCTTGTGTAATGGCTTAAACCTTAGGGGACAATTGGTTATGTTCAGATAGATTTGGTGTACGCTTTCTTCCATCAATGTTCCCAGATGATGTTCAAACATAACACAGAATTCCCCGTACACAATACAGCCTAATTAGAAATTAAAAACAACTGCAATATAAGTGCAACAATTTCCTGGTAAATCCATCTGAACTTTTAGTATGCATGGGCAAAGCCGTCAAGATATTTTAAGGCAAAACATGTTTTACGGATGTAACTGAGATTTCAAGGCTAATTTCTTGAACAAATAGTCATTTTGTCTTCCTTAAAGAACTTCTTAAACAACACTAAGTCAGATGTATATCCTTCATACTAATTGCACAATTGGTTAATTAGTAAACTCTTTTGGAAGCATCCATAGAAGCTAATCTGTCCATATATCTGAAAGTGTCTCATTTTAATAAATCTCTTCCCGTGTTAAAGAAATAATATAGAAATCTGCATATATTGATGATGCAATTGCAATTTAGTTTTCTATGTGCGTGCATATGGACTATTATGCTATGCAAACATTATTATTACATTTTGTTTTAGAATTTTATACAATGGGAGATGTACTAGTGTCGCAGACAGTCTTGTGCCTTTTTTAAATCATTTTGTTGGTGGTTTTTGGCACACTTTATTAAATCTGAGATTTTTTGGGCTGCCTCTTCTTTCATTCCCTTATAATAATTTCTGTATGTTCAAAATCGTTTGGGAAATGCAACAGATTTATTCATCTTTACGTCACAATTTTTTTTACCTGAAAAATAATCTGTTTCACTTTTCTTTTTTTCTACCACTCAAAATTGGTCTTTTCTGAAAAGGCTACTTGAGAAAAATGGCAGAATTTATGCAAAGAAAAGCCAACTCTTTTTTTAGGCCATTTGTAGAATAATTTAATAATTATAATTAGACAAAAAATAAAAGACACTTTTCTGAATACTTTTTTAAATCCCCCACACCCCTTCCAGTATGTTAAAACATGTACTAGTTTTACAACAGTGGCATATAAAATGCCTGCGTTAGTCATGAGAATTCACTACTTTGAACTTTAGGAGAAAATTGTTGGCACAAATAGAGTTCATCATATTAATTGCAAAATCAATTGGCATTTAATAGCCTGAAGAGCTACTTAAATTACAAATTAACAGAGGTGTTCTAGCACGAATCACATGAGATGCCAAACAGGAGGAATACGTTAATGATACTTAAATAGGGACCAGGATGGATCAATAATACAATTTAGGGATTGTTGCTGTTCTTTAAATGACACTTCAAATGTACAGAACTTTGACTTTTCTTACTTGTTAAAACCAGCATACAAATGAAATAGCTACATTTAAGCTGCAGAAATGAATATCAAACAGGTGTTTGCATAAATGGGTCTGACATGTGTACAGAATTTTAAACTAAAGTGATTTGTGTAAATAGTGTGATTACTGCACTGATCAATGGCTTCTAGCTTTTTAAAGTTATAGTCTGTTGGTGCTTGGTGGATATATTACTACTGTAACATTATTGTGTTTGGTTTTAAGAATCATTACATTGCATTCAGCACACATTGCTTGCACACTTGTACAGCCTTCCTACACACTTCCTGAAAAATAACTCTAGCAGGGCTATTTAATAAAGTGAGTGTAACTATTTGCTGTGAATGGCCTCGATATGCAGGAGATAGCAGAGAGTAAAAAAAAGTCTCTTAGTTCCTAATGCATCAAACAGGTAGGGATAGCTAAAAGAAAGGTCAGGCAGGAGTGAGGCCAGTCCAGGTGGCATAGGTTCAGAGTCAAACAGGCAGAGGGTCAATACATGGGTAAGCAAAAACTCTAGGCAATAAGGACTTGTAATACTTTGAGAGCTCATAAGATATCTGAGCACTGAGCTTTGGGACAGATAGGGTTTCAGTAGGAAGAGATGGTGGGGGGAGTAAAACTCCCATGACAGTGAGTTAAAAGTAGACTTGGAGATTTGTTACTTATGAACTGCAATTCATCCAAACTTCGGCCAATCTGGTGATCACCCAAATTCACACTTTCCAAACCGCCATATAGAGTAATCACGAAACAAAAAACTCGTACAATGAAAGAGCATGTTCAATTAATTCATGATTATGAGTTCCACCCAGTAAACCAAAAAAAAAAAGAGATAATTAATGGGAAAAATATGATTGATGGCTAGGGTACATCCACTAAATGTTGATTTTATTCATATATCATATATGTAGAAATATATAAAATATAGATATTTTTACTGCTCCACCTCTTTTTCCTTCTATTGGCTACTTTTTCTTAATAAATCTGTAAACCCAATGGCGGGAAAATGGGAAAATTCACCTATCAATGTACTGTAAAATCTACAGATAATATTTATATTATCTGTGTTACTTACTAAAGTGAGAATCTCACATGTAAAGCCAGAGTAACTGCCCTGGAAGGATAGCTGACTTGGAACCACCACATGTATGAAATTCTGCCATTCAAAAATGTTTTTATACCTGGAAAAAGTGGATTTCAAATTTAAGATCAGTATAGCCGCACTAAAAGCATAGCCGACTTAGCAATGTTGACCTTAAACTTGAAATTCACTTTTTATCATCACTGTAATGAATAACCTGTATATATTTAGCTTCCTTAATTGCACACTAACAAAGTTATTCACTAAAGTGAAAACTGCTGGGAATTCAACGTAAATTTCAAAATATAAGTCAAAATAGCAGATTTACAACAATTCTCTAAATCAGGTCTGTTTTTATTTTTTATTTTTTTTATTTATGTTGGTGTTACGTTTGAAATTCACTTTAAATTACCAGCAATTTTCATCTTAGTGTGTTTGATGTAGAATTTCTAATCTTCTGCTCTGTTAATTGCCTGTTAGAGACTGCAGCAGTCCATTGTTTGTGATTAAAGTTCAATTGAGTGAGCCGAGGATAAGAATTTCTAAACTAAACACACTGTGCTGTAAAATTGAAGGCTGTGTGAGTCAGAACCCACAGCATGCCCTTCTGAATAAAGAATTCCTATCTACTATTTACTTAGGAATTTATTTTGAGGGAAGCTGATTAAAGATAGACTATTCTAAACACAAATTATAAAATCATATTGCTTAGATCTCTCATTTTCTTTTCTTCATACAATTGCTTTCTGTGTTAGTTTGCTTTCAATAATCCCGATGACCATATAATAGGTTTTATGTTTATATTTTGAAAACGAAAACTGGGAACATGTAATTTACATTTTATCGTACTTCACAATGTTTCTTCGTTTTAGCTCTATGGAACATAAACATGATAAATCAAGCAAATGAATAAAAAACTGTAAAGCTACATTATTAATTCAATATAATCAATTACTTTATTGACTTTTTTATGATTTGACAACATAGTAGAATGCAATATAATAAAACGTAAACAGTAAACTTGAAATTGCTTTGCCAAGCATTACAAGTTACTTAAAGGGACACTTCAGGCAGAGTAACTGTTTCATCGCATTCAAGTGCTTACGGTGTCTGGAGTCTTGGAACAGTCCTTCCATTCAGTGTTAAATTGTTTTAATGTTTTATTGCTAAATGAGAGTTCCCAGCAACCCGCTGTGCTATTGTGGAAAGTAGGTTTGCAATATATATTTCTGTGTTTGCCTGGTACATATTAATTCATAAATGTTGGGGGTGTTACATTTATCATTAAATATTATTAAATAATAAGTATCAGGAGAAAAGGGTTAAGATGTTTACTTGGAGCAGAGGAATTATCACATAGTGTATGCAATTGATATAACATTTGCAATACTAGCACTTGACATATAACATTCCTACACGCCTTCATTTAAGTAGATTAACCTTGCAAAGCCCCTTCATAGTGTTCATTGTTACTTGGATCCTTGGGAGCCCAAAACACATATATGAGAAATGTATTGCTCAATGAATATGTCGATTTTGTGGCATTCTTGACTGATAATTATTTGTTTTTGTTTTCATTTATTTATTTTTTTGGTCAATAAAGATTATTGAATGGAAAAAGATATACAATTCCTCCCTCCCTAATGAGGTAGAACTTCCAGAGCCATGGGAAGATATACTTACTGGTTTTCAGAAATTGTTGGTTATACGGTGTATACGACCTGACAAGGTAAGTGAAATCAATCAATATTTTTAAAATGGATAATCGCTTGAAATGTGATTTTCTATATCCAGAACGACTGATATTTCGTATACTTTCTTTCATTTACACTTTTATATTGTTTTGCTGTCGGTATGAAGCTCTCCTTGTTAATATTTCAAAATCGATGTTTCTAAATTTTGAAAACCAGGGGCTTTTCGAAGTTTCAAAACTTACTGTTTCTTCAAACCAAAGCAAAATCTGCTGTCGTCAGTACCACCCTTTCACGTCTACAGTCCTCTATCCATCATATCCTTTTGCCCAACTTGTTTTTCTCTGTTTTACTGTCCCTTAGCCTCTCCTAAACCCCCTTGTGTCTCCTTTCCCATTTCCTTTGAAGTCCATTTGTCTGTTTTCCCAATTTTACCTAACCCACCCTTGGGTATTGATAGATCACAGTTTTTTTGTCAAACTGTTTGGCATGGTTTACTATTGCCTCATTGTCTTATATCCATTACAATAAACTGTAGAGGTCATGGTGTTTAAAGGGTCATTTTAAAATCCCCAAACTGTTCGGAATTCTACAATACTTTTAAAAAGTACTTTTAATAACGTGATCTGAATGCCGGTGGCCCAGATTCAGATACAGATTATCTATTAAAATTCTGTTTCATTAGCAGTAGTAAAATCGGCTTCTCACAGTGGAACCTTTTTTCCTTAAAAAGTAATAAAAAGAAATCTAAATGATAATTTGATGCACGGGTTATAGAAATCTATCTGAAATGAGCTTTTGACAAGAGAAAGCAGCAGGTTATTTTTAAGTCGTGCCAGTCCTCTCTGCCGGTGAAGATTGGCACTCAGGAACTGTTGTTTGCTTTCATTGTACTTTCCAAAAAAAAATATTACAGCAGGGAAGAAACAGCAGACGTTGATTCCCAATATTTTATAGCAACTCTGCAGTAACCCTGTCCAAAGTAGCCAGGATTACACTGGGGAATATTTGTGAGGAGTAAATAATTAGGTCAAATCTATTAAATGAAAGCAGATCTTATTTGAGAAAGCTTCAGACTGTGTGATTTTGCCGTGCCCAGTTTCTGACTAATATCATTAAATTAACTATATGGGAAGGTGGTTTGATAGGAAAGTGGTAAGTGACTTTACATCTATACTATATTTGGGTCACATCAGTATTTTATTTATTTTAATAATACTTATATTTTAATCTTGTTGCTTAATGTTTATCAGGTTGCTATATATAGGATTTCTATTTTGGCATGTAAGTAGTTTTCCTAGCAGAAAAAAAATAAATAAAAATTTTCCCAAACAGTACTGAATGTAAGCATTTTCATTGCAAGCTTATATTGAAGGAATAATACATTAATAAAGCATTTTTAGTGTGCAGATCATGACCCTTAAGTATCACTGCTCAATTCTCTGCCATTTAGGAGTTAAATCACATTAGCAGGAGATAAAAAAAAAAAAAACATCTAAACTAAGTTAAGACCTTTTTTATGTATGCCATGTGATTTACAGCTAGAGGCAGAAAAAAGTGATTGAACTCCTGATTGGCTTATAATTGAGACTGCAAAGGCATGATCCAGGCACTAAAACTGCTTAATTAAGCTAACATTGTTTTGATGCCTACAGCCTCCCTTTACGACTGTTTCTTGCCAGTTTTATATTTTTGAATATGAACACATTACCATTTTTATTTATTTATTTTTAAGGTCATTCCTGCTGTTCAACAGTTTGTCACTGATAAAATGGGTCCATCCTATGTAGACCCTCCTACATTTGATCTACAATGCAGTTACATGGACTCTACATCCAGCACACCGCTAATATTTATCCTTTCTCCTGGAGCTGACCCGTTGGAGATACTGATGAAATTTGCAGAAGAACAAGGTATGTCAGAACAAAAATAAAGGCTACATTATTTAAAGGATCACTATAGTGTCAGGAAAACTAAGCGGTTTTCCTGACACTATAGTGCCCTGAGCGGTCCCCCTCCCGTGTTAAAACCCCTTCAGCAGCTTACCTTTTTCCAGCGCCGGGCACCTTCCCCCCCCCCCTGCCGATGTCAGCTCCCTCCGACGACGTCAGCGGATCCGAATGCGCATGCGCGGCAAGTGCCGCACGCGCATTCAAGCTGTCAATAGGAAAGCATTTTTTAATGCTTTCCTACAGACGCTCTGCGTGATGGAGGCATAATATGCCTCCAGCGACGCAGATGCGCCTTTAGTGGCTGTCCGGAACACGGCCACTAGAGGCTGGCTTAACACTGCAATGTAAACATAGCAGTTTCTTTGAAACTGCTATGCTTACATCTGCAGGGTTAAAACCTGTGGGACCTTGCACCCAGACCACTTCATTGAGCTGAAGTGGTCTGGGTGACTATAGTGTCCCTTTAAGAGCTATGCCTGTCTTTTAGTCAAAATGTATCAGAATGATTTGGATAACAACACATTTATTGGTTTAAAAAAGCTGTGTTTAAAACTTTGTATATTGCTAAGGGTCTGCCTATGCACATTTGTACGTCAAGCTTGGAACTCTAGAATTGTTGTGGTGTAACGATTTCTCGAGTCTGTGCCTAGGGACTAGCAGGTGATGCACAACTTATTTCACTCTCTCATATATATATATTATTATTATATAATTATGTTGTGTCATGATGAAGGTTCTAAATTAGGAACTGAAATATTGACCATTCGTGACAATAAAACTACTTTACTGCAAATCCAGGAGTGATGGCAAGTTTTCTATTTTGCTATATATAATATTATATATTACAATAGACTCAGAGATTAGTTTTTCTGCAGTTTGACTGATTTTAGGATGATTAGCAGAATTCCCAAATTCCAAGTTGAAATAAACCGGAATTACTAACTAAAAGAAATGCGCAATGCATGACATATTCAGGGGTATCAATATTATAAATGCTACTCGGGGCACCAAAAAATAAATGATTGATGGATAAAAATATAAATATTGAATTTTTCTGCTTTTCCCTCTATTTGTTACTTAGTTGGTCTGTGAACCAAATGGCAGGAAAATGTTCCTATTAGTGTACTGCAAAATATGTGGAAAGAGAGCGAAAAAGCATTATATAATTTAATAGTCACTACCAGGATTTATTTGCGTAAAGTGTCTTAAAGCTTCCTACATATCCCTATTTTAATTTTAAGAAAGCTGCCAGTAAACGATGTTCCTTCCTAGAAAAATTGTTCTAGAAAAATATGTCTAAAGAATAGAATATAGCACTCTGTAAAAAAAACATCAGAAAGGAAAACTAAAATGTCTAGATTTAAAAAAAAAAATTTCTTACCAGATACCACTACACCCACCAAGTTCTCAGCCAATGACAAGCTCGAAACCTACTAAACCTATACACAACATTGTTAAACCACGTTCCACGCCAGCCACATTAACTACCCTGTTCTTTTATGAACTAAAAAAGTACCTTTTCCCCCTAACCTGCGCCTCAGCCAGATAAGCTAACTAAAACTGATCAATTACAAAATCGGTGCCCTATTTATACCAGATCCACTCCATAATTTCTAACTCCCATTCACCTACTAGCTTCCACCTAAGCCCAACTTCTAGCTCTGTCAAAGCCCCTTTCCACTAAGCTGCGATTGTTACCTGGGGCTATACTCTCTTCGATTGCTCCGAGGTTCACTATATTCACTATCAACTAAACTAGAACCACATTGAGAAAAACATAATCCTGCAAACAACTGAATATGGACAACTGATCAGCATTAGTCACTGAGTTAGACCACTCAGACCACTCAGTTTTACATCCAACGATTCTACATTGCACTTATTTTTAGTTGAGACAATCTAAAAAGGAAGTTGCCTATAAACGTTCAGAAATACACATCTAGAATAATTCAAGCTAAGCTTTCCTGAAACAATTAATCATAAATGTCCACTAACAATACGAGATTTACTTTGCCCCTGGCAGTCTGATCAGGTCTCTCATAATATTATCTCTTAAACATTGAATTCTTAAAGAAATTGAGTATATTGGTGAAAAGCTTGTATGAACCTGAAAATAGGCTTGTTAAGTATAGGACAGAATAGTAGAATTGACCAGAAGTGTCCATCATACATATTGCAAGATAATTCTCACTCTAAGCATCATTATTACAGCAGCTCAGTGTTTTAGTTATCGTGCAGAGAGGTTATAGCCTATTTGCAGTAGTCAAAAAAAAGGCAAGCCATGGGTGCCAGGGAATGCACTGTTTGTCAACAAACTGCACTAAAACAGTTCGAAACAAAAGTGAGATGTTGACGTTGGCTATTTGCACCATAACCACTAAATTGAGCAGTAATGCTTATGATTTTTAGAATTCCCCTTTTAACGATACTTTCTGGAACTGCGGGGGGTATTCAATAAAAGTAAGCTAAAGTGTCTTCACAACTAACCCTTTATATGTGAATCAATGGGAAGCAAACATGGGGTACAACCTAGAAGGAGGTTAAAAATAATTCTTAATACTGGTCCTGCTGTGAAATATATATAAAATACATTGTAAGGGAAGAACGCACAACAGTACAGGTTTAAATTAAATCCCCTATCTTAGCAAATACATATTGGGATTTAGTCACACCATATGGCCATACCATGCTTAAACCCACCCTTGCTAAGTTTAAAGTACGCCAATACTAATGCTACACTAATCTTAACATGGGAGATAAACTTGTTAACTGCAACACTTGCTGCTTAAACTACTTAATGAGAGAGAGAGAGAGAGAGAGAGTGTTTGTGTGTGTGTGTGTTTGCGTGCCTGCACTGTTCCCTTAAAATACTTTTTCTAGGCCAAAATGTGCTCATTTGCCGAGATACTATTCAAATGATTCATACCTGAATGGACAGACATAACTATGTACTAAATATACTCGTATGGTTTATACCTAAATAGTATTGCATTATATTGTACGTTCTAAGCACATTGTAATGATACATCAATCAAGAACATGGCATTTTATGTAAGCTGACATTTTATTGATCTTAAAACAGCTCTACTTAGGGCTGTGTTTAAATACAAATAAAGTGCTAACAAAATTTTAACTTCTCAGATATTAACACTTCCATATGCAATTATCTTTCTTTTTTATTTGACCTACACGTTTTTAAAATTGGCCTCTGACTTTATATTGTAGTTCCATAATTACTCAAAACAGTTTGTTCTTTTTAAAGCTTATTGGCAATGAAATCCCCTGCTTCTCCTTTAGGAAAATAATAGCACCACTTTAATATCCATTAGGAACCAAATTAGATGTCTTTATAAATAGCGGTAAATTGTTCTGCAATGCAAATTCCTATTGTTTTAAAAGTTTTCACCTTCAAAGCAGACACAAAGATATAGTCAACTTCAAAAATTACAAATAAGATGAGAACTCTCAGATCGTCGGAGGACCCTAATAATAAACAATCGCAAGATACTATGGCCATATTCTTCCTGACAATCTGCCAAAAAAAAAAGAATCTCCAGCTATCAAAGAAATTATATTAAAATAAGCCAAAAATTAAATTACAATGTAATCCAAGTAAGTGTCATTTGAAGATGTGATGATTTTCAATTTAAGCCAATTAAAGAGACATTATGAGAAAGATTAACATTAAGCCTGGTAAAATAGCCATTATGGCTTAAAATAATAACATATGCTATTCACAAACAAAATCTGGGTATATTTATTGTTTCAACCCATGGGTTCAATTAGTACACTTAGGTAATAATGGTAAATGGACCATAAAGCTTATAAACATACATCTATAAAAAAAATTATAAAAAAAATAAATAAAATTAAATTAAAAAAAATAAAATAGTGAGTAGGCGCTTCACTGAAATTATGGCAGTTTTGTATATAATTAAAATATACAATAAGTGGTGTGACCAGTACCTTAGTGCTTCCCTTTTGCACCAGATAAAAGTAATGTAATTTAAAGAAACATGTACCAGTGTATACACCTCCCCAATGTGATCACAGCAAAAATGAGTAATATTACCAATATAAAACTGTAATACAAACAGCGTAGAGCTTGATTGGGATATAAACTAGAAAAAAATAAAAAACAACATAGTGCAAACTGTATAATGACTGATGGAAAATAAATGAACATATGACTCTCACTCACATGCTCCAGAGCCGTACCAGGCTCTGTAAATCAGGCTCAGGGGTGCCAAGTCCTGGCTAACTATCCAGGTGAATCAGGTAGATGAGACTCCAAGATTAAGTACAAAATATTTATTGTATAAAAATGTATAAAAGTATATGCACTACTGGGCACTATGGAGGGGGGGGAACCCACAACAGACAATCATGTAATATAGAACAAAATTGGAATTCCACTTACCCCTATTTGTATAGTAGCCCAGAGTGTAAAAAATACACATAAAATAATAAATAACAAATGTTATAAATACAAGCAGACGCGTTTCGGCTAACAGCCTTCCTCCAGTGCTTGTTATAAATATACATGCCTACCTCCTGTTGAGTCCCTTAAATCGAAGAGAAATACAAGTCAGAAGTTCTGCAAAAAAAGGCTTCCATTTCCAGTAATGCAATAGTTTAAATATGAAGGGAAGATTGAGACTGCTCTATTCTATACCTCAGTAATTAGTATGTTCTACTCTGTGAGCGTGATGATGGAATATTCAACTATATGTTCACCCACTTTCCCTAGGATTTACACTGTGTTTAATGTAATAATTAATGGGCCTGAATATATCTAAACCTATCTCCCAATATACAGAGGCTATTCACTACACCGAGAATCGCCAGTAATTAAAAGTGAATTTCTATTTTAGACCAAAGTAGCTGAACAAGAACCATAGCTGACTTGGAGAAAAAAAATTTAAATTTAATTTGAATTCACTTTTAATTTCTGACAATTCACACTTTAGTAAATAATGTTGACGGTGTCAGATGGATCAGAGGAGGTCCAATAAGAGAGTCTTCTTTTTGGAAGTAGTATTTTTTTTTTTTTTTACTAGATATTATTTTAGATGTTTATTTAGCTCAGAACTTGATCACGGTTGAATAAATTCCAGTTTATTAATGGTATTCAAGTAATCCAATGGATTTAAAATAAATATAAAAACATTTGTTTTACTTTCAGAAATGAGTGGCATTAATCTTCAGACAATATCACTTGGTCAGGGTCAAGGACCTATTGCTCGAAAAATGGTTGAAAAGGTAATGAAGAAAAAAAAAATGAAATTCTGCTTGTGTTTATTACTATGCACTTGTATAAGAAGCTTATCACATCTCTAGAACTCTAGGTAGGGTAACTGAGTTTATGTTGCCGTTTGTGAGCACTTACATTGACGCAATATATAGGTAATCTATTTGTAAACATGTTATTTATGATAATTTCAATTTATAGAAACATATTTAAAAGAGAAACGCAGAATAAAAACTAATTCTTAAAAATTCAGGCATCATTATTGGCTTCTCCATAGGCAAAACATAGTCCACTTTGTACCAACACACACACAGACAATTGATGGTACACTTAGTGCACTTGGTTAATTAAAAAGACAAAAGTGTTCTTTTCTAAGAATTACTGCAGAAATGTAAAAGGGAGGCATCTCAAATTAAATGTGCCTGCTAGTTCCGCTGGTAATCGCCTCACTTTGAGTACTTTAGACCATTTTTTTAAAGATTAAATACTTTGATACATATCCAATACCAATAGTGTATCAATTTCTCATAACACCTGAAATCTAACACTATAAAGGCTGCTCTTATATGATACCTTCCTTTACTGATTTGGTCTCAGCTAAATTACTTGGTCTACCCAAAAGATTATTATATCTTTTACTTATAAAGGATTATGATATCTCTGCACACTAAACACTGGATGACATTCTTCTTCTTCTAAATAAGTAAACACTTAATACAATGAGTCTATTTTATATACACAAACTATGTGCATTATAGGCCACCTTCATTCATACATGCTTATATTATTTCTCAATACATTTTCTTTTCAAATAAATTTTATTTAAAATTTAGTAAATTTTATACATACACAATTTTGTTTAATAAACATAAGGAGGTAAACGAAAAAAAGAAAAGAAGAAAACATCATAATAATGATAATTAATCATACATGACTTTGACTGTTATTTTTCCATTACAATAAAAGACAAATTTTACATTTTCAGTGACAATGACCTATATATATAAGTTGAAATTAACAGGAATTATTTACCAATTAGTATTCTAACATGCATATATTAGCTATACAATAGAAATAAACATTATATAATCTATTTCAGTTAACCACATTTACCTAATATGCCTCTTTTTAATTATTTCCCACTAAGAATCCAATGTTTGACCTAGATGTTCATAAAGAGAAGACTATTGTCCTATTTTTGCATATACTTCCAATAAACAATTAAAAACATAAACCTATATTGTGGAATCTTGATCTTTACTATTTAGTTTACCAGCCTGACTAGTTTCTTCTAATTTTTAATTTCTCATAAATATTTTATAAATAATTTCCACGAAAAGGCCAAGCTTTCATTATTTCTTCTCCATGACACTCATTTAATAGCCATTAAAATGCAAATACATCTATGATTTTTAAATCGGCTAAATTAACATTAACAGTTGGGTGATTGATTAAAGGTCACAGCGACTGTATAACTTAATTTCCTGGATAATAATTGTGTTTGGTTTTCTCCAGATTGTTTAGGATACTGCGTTAATTTTAACTGTTGACAAGTGAATAATTGGCTTTTTATTCTCATTTCAGGCGGCAGAAGATGGCACGTGGGTAATTCTCCAAAATTGCCATCTAGCCACTAGTTGGCTTGCTGACCTTGAGCAAATTTGTGAAGAAGTCATTTCAGATCCTGAAAAAACCAAACCCACATTCCGCTTATGGCTGACCAGTTACCCGTCACAAAACTTTCCTGTATCAGTTTTGCAAACTGGAATAAAAATGACCAATGAGCCCCCAAAGGGATTAAGGGCAAATCTGATGAAATCCTATCTCAGTGACCCAATTTCCAACCCTGTTTTCTTCAATGGATGCAATAAACCTCAGGTATGATAGCTTTACTGTTTATACACCTGTCAATGCTTAATTTAAATGGGACAAAAATGTTCACTATGCTTCTTTACGCACACGTCTGTTGACATTAAATGCTGTCATATAAATCACCATTATCTAAATTGAAATATAACAGGTGTTGGCGATGTCCTTTTCTATATATAAAATATGTATATATTTTTTTAATATTTTTTTATATTATTTATAATAAGTAGAAATTATGTACACATGAGGCACATAATAATTGAAGCTATTTTGCTGAATTTCACTGTGATTGATGTAGGAACATAATGTATAGCTAATTAATTCATCAGGTTCTGACATATTGTAAGCACTTAGACAGTAACTGGAATATCCATCTTAAGCCTTTCTTCAATGTTTGATATAATGAAAATAGAGGAGAATTAATGAGACAACAAGTAGGACTTTTGATCTTTTATGTATATGGATGTTTAAAGGAATAAAATTATGTATATAAAAGCATATGCTCAGTTTACTTTACATAACATAATCTCTGTTGCATAAAGAAGAAAATGTAAATAATATTGTTGTCTTCAAGGACAAACTAGAAATACCCTCCTGCCTTCTTCACAATGGCCACAGCATATAATTAAGTATTTCTAAAATTCTTTAACTTTGCTATTATGACCTAAATCTTGCCAGCCCAGGGAAGCCGTCAAGTTTAGTTTAGTTTTACTTCCTGTTTTGATATTTTTCTTTTTTTCTTTGTAGTTTGCTTGCATTATATTTTCCCTTTTTCCTACCTACGTATATCCAACCAACTTTCACAAAACGAAGCCTTCAGTACACATGGCCACTCAGTTTTAGTGAGTAGAAGGTGGCTTTTGTGAAAGTGGAGACTGAGGATGGTTCTAGGATTCATGACCATCCTCATTATGTCATTTTAAAAAGAAGAAGTCGACATCGACGAAACGCGTTGAGCATTGACCACCTTCAAGATCCCTGCATTTTTTTGGTATAGCAGTCTTTTTCTACAAGTTTTACATCTCATAGTATTTGTGCACTTTATGCTGTTTTTGTACCATTGGTACTTTTGTACTTGGCACTTGCACTTTTACTTGTATGATTTTAGCTGCCATCCATAGGGGTTCTTGATTTTGATTATTATTGTTTTTATTACTGTTATTTTGTGCATGTTGCACTTTTGGCTATTATTGTTTCAATAAAGTGGACCCCACACTTCCACAGTATACTCTGCATTTATGGGATTATTCTATACCATATCGATATTTATCTTAGTGGTTGTGGCGCCCTGTAGTCTGCACTAGTGTTCAGACTTTGTGTTTATTTTATTTATATAGAGGTTTAGAGTGACCTCAATACAGTGGCTTGCCTGCACTAAAATTTAGACCTACTATCACCCACATCATCCTTTTATTTATTTTCTAAAAAGGTTCTTGGACTGAGTTGTTTATGATCCCTGGCCCATTTCCTAATTTTATTCTCACTTGAAGAAAAAAACAACTAATTATAAATTGAGGAAGCAGTATAAACTATTGTTGTATATATCTGTGAATGTTTATATACATGATTTAAAAGCATGGTCCCTCTGACCTATCCCTTTGGTCTAAAACTAATGTTAACTCTGCAGAGAAAGTAATATTTCTGACATAACCCAATATTGTCCCTCTGCATATCTGCAGATGGATTGTAAATGGTAGCTATCTTCTGCCCCTCAAATTTTGCTGCACCTTTTTAAGCTTAAATTGAATGGTTGCATTTTATTAGTTAAGTAGAAGAATATATCACATAGATTCTTTGCAGGCTGACACTCAGCTAACCTTGAACAGTCTTATGTAGGGTATGATGGAGAGGGGGTGAGGCTGGTAACTCATGGATGAAAATAAAGTTGTTACACATGTTACTTTTTAAAAAGGTCTTCTTGGGAAATAGTAGAAATAGAAAAATAGGCTTATATTAATAATTCAGTAGCTGTGAAATTCTCATTACTCCTTTTTAAGGCTCATTGATGCGCGTGGGGTGCGAAGGTTAACCCATCTGGTCTGATCACTTTGAAGCTACTGTAGTTCAAATTGCTGAAAAACTTAATGCTGGCCATGATAGAAAGGTGCCAGAACATATAGTGCATTGCGGTTTGATGCGTATGGGACTGTGCAACTGCAGACCAGTCAGAATGCCCATGATCCTGTCCACCTCCGATAGCGCTTTCAATAAGGACGTGAGAGTCAAAACTGGACCATGAAGCAATGGAAGGAGGTTGCCTGGTCTGATGAATTCTTTTAAATCAGGTGGATGGCTGGGTGCGAGTCCGTCGTTTACCTGGGCAAGAGATGGCAACAGGATGCACTATGAGAATAAGGAAGGCAGGTGAAGGCAGTGTTATGTTCTGGACAATGTTCTCCTGGGAAATCTTGGGTCCTGGCATTCATGTGGATGTTACTTTGACACGTTCAACCTACCTAGACTACAGGCACCCCTGATGGCAATTGCCTCTTTCAGCAGGATTATGCACAAAAATTGTTGACAGGACATGTTCAGAGGTCTTGTGGAATCCATGCCTCGACGCAGCAGAGCTGGAAACACGAGGGTACCTACACGATATTAAACAGATGGGTTTAATGTTGTGGCTGATCAGTGTATATATATAACGCTAACATATTTTATTTTATTACAGTTTATTTCTATAGCTGAAGAGCCCACACTTGTCCAGACACTGACATTTACACACTTTATTTTATGCTTTGAGAATTAATTTGCTGTCGCAGTTCTCTTAATTCTATGGGAGGGAGGGAGAGATACTTATAGTAAACACGTTCATTTTTTTATTTTATTTTTTAAATGTCAGCATTTGAACAGTCTACATCATAACAGCATGTTCAAAATGTTAACTGATATGTTTAATGCTAAATTACTATGCTATGTTTATTTAATTTTGTTTTACATTGTGTTGCTGTACAAAATTAAATTAACACAGGGCATACTACGGAGGTGGTAATGAAAGGGTTAAATGCGGTTCCGTTAGCACTATATCTGCTAAAATTACACTATAGAACAAATTATCGAAAAAAGGTTCATATATCGTTAATAAAGCATTTTACAACAATGTAAAAAAAAAAAGTAACATGACAAAGGAAAGGAAAAAAATTACATTGCATCTATTTTCTGTTAATTATATTATTATTTTATTATTTTATGGATTAATTATACTGTTCTCTTCATTTTATTGTATAGATTGTCAAGACTATACCAGAGAGCTTTCATGATATATCTAAACACAGTCAAATCGAAAAGCAAAGCTCTGTAAATTGAAAGTTTAAAGCTACAGTTGCAAGAATCTATATTGGAATCATGACAATAAATAATAAAGTGCAGTGCTTTTAATTTATATTAGTGACCCATTAGAACTGGCAAGATCCATACTGAGCACATGAAGAGGAATACTAATTGTAAACCACTAATCCATTGTTTTATGTGCTGTCATCAAACTGTCAACTTAAATGATAGCACGTAAATGATGGCGAATTTTCTTTCTTGTTGCTGTGCTGAGGAATCTTTTGACATGTATGTCAAGAGAAACCCAGGCTTATCACTCAGATTTCTCATCTCCGAGTTCATTTTGTTGTGTGACTTCGGCAGTGCAACCTTGTCGTGGTTGAAAGATAGCTGAACTACTGCAAAGATATCCTGCTCACTCTTACAACTTACTCAATGTCATATTTCTAGTTACATAAATGTACAACGGTACGTGGATGACATTTCATTTGTCATTTAGAACAAGTGAAGAGGCATGCACTATTTACAAAGTTCATAACAATATCGGAATTATGGCTTCTAAAAGACTGGAACCGACGTGATTTATTTATTAAGATATGCAGAAGGGTGTAAAAGTTGCTAGCAGTAGCAAATATAAAACCTAAAATAAACAATACAATATAAAGAAAATGCTAAATCAATGCTGTATGTCCAATACTTTGCTACCAGAATGTAAAATTCCCTTGTTGACTTCAGCCAATACCAATAATGTAGCTTTGGCAGATATCAATTTATAGCGGCATTAGGTCCAGAATAACCATTAGGCAAAATAAGCACCTGCTTAAAGGTGGATGCTAAACTTGCGCCACAGGTGCCCTGTTCATAGTAACCAGCTTTGGTGCAGTGGTAAGGCTGCAGAACCACTGTGTTGCATCTAAGACTGTGTGTTCTCTGCATGCCCTTTCCTTCTCAGACTTAAGGCAATAAACTCCAGTAAAGATGAGGATATGGACTGGGGACAGAATGGCCCTACTGCAAAAAATGGAACATGACAAATAGTTCAAGGTGTTGCCTTGACCTCCAAATTCCCCAGATCTCAATCCAACTGAGCATCTGTGAGATTTGCTGGAACAACAAATCTGATACATGGAGGTCCTACCTTGCAACTTGCATGACTTAAAGGATCTTCTGCTAATACCTTGGTACCAGATTCCACAGGACACGTACAGAGGTCTTGTGGAGTCCATGCCTTGAGGCATTAGAGCTGTTTTGACAGCTTGAGAGAAACCTACACAAAGTTTCATTTTCATGCTTTCATCTCCTTCCATTTGATGCCATTGGTTTTTTAGAAAGTTTTTAAACTTAAAATTTAAAGGATATAACAGGAATTAGACAGATAGCAGACGGGAATTTGGAAGTGATGGCCAAATTAAGTTAATGGAGAGTTGTAGCTACCAGTAAAAAGGAATAAGAGAAAGTAAAGGGAATGAGACGGTAAGTTAGACAGATCTGATACAGATGAAGGGGCGTGCTATAAATTTAGTAGGAATGTGGATGGGTGGAAGTGCTTAGAGAAAATGGAGAGATTCTGTATTGCTTGGATCTGGGTGTGTGTAGTGAGGACTAAGGAAAGGAACATGGAGAGGAGACACAGTTCTATGAAGGCAACCAGATGTGGCAAAGGATGGAGAGAGAGGGGGTGGGAAAAGCAAACATTTTTTGTTTACAATTGAAATGTTTACCACCAAATTCTATCTCCAGAAATATTAATAACTATATGTATATGAAAAATTGGTGGAATACATTCAATGAAAATAGCAATAAAAAATGCATGCACATGATATTCCTGCTTTTCAGCCGAATCCTGTAGAGGATAGAAATCAAGCATGGGACCAAACCTCTTACACACCCCTATCCAATCAAAAAGGAAAGAACAAGTTGCTGAAGCTAGTAAAATCATTTTAGCAGGGTCTCAGCACATAACTTGCTGGACTCATACACAGTAATCCAGTGGCCTAGCAGATTAGGCTTTGGATGAGACTAGGCCGTCCAGGAGACTTTCGCAAGTTAAGTGTGGGAGCGTTGGGGATTGCTCCTGTTACACTATTTGTAACTAAGCTACATGATTTGTTCTTATTCTCTGAGCAGTTTATCAGCCAACATTGCATATGCTCTACTCTTTTCCTCCTCTTTTGTTGTATTGGTCATGCACTGTGTTTCTCTTGATATAATTTACCACAACAAAAATATGCTGTTAACCACATGTATGCATTCCTTGATGTGAGCTTTGCAAATTACTGCATATATGTACCGTTATTCTTGACATTAACCTGCACATCAAAAATAAAGAATTTTAAAAAATAACAAAAATAAAAACAAAAAATGCATGCACGGAAAGTTACAGTGGCAAACTACAGGTATAAATGGTAACAGTGCTAGAGCAACAAATAATAATATGGGAACAAAGTTAGAATAAATGAGGGCAGGGCCGGACTGGGTCACCGGGATACCGGGAATTTTCCCAGTGGGTCACGGCACCTGGGGCCGGCAGGAAGCCCTAATATTTTATTTAAATTATTTTTCCCTTGGACTGTGACAGCTTCTGTCAGTCCGAGGGAATTCAGGAGGCAAGTGCTGGGGGCTGGTGCAGCTGCATCAAGGCTAGTGAAGGCCAGAGGGATTACTGAGTCTCCCTTCCTGATTCCCAGGCAGAGTCTGGTTTTCAGCAGAACATGGTCCAACTTACCAGAGATCCCATCAACGCTGATAGGACAGGCAAAGTTCTAACTTAGAAACCCATGGAAAATTCCTGCTTATTGTTCCACATTTAGAACATTTCCCCAGAATTACTGTATACTCCTATTTACAGCACTGTAAACACTGCTTACTGCCTCCACTTTATATGCAATCATACAGAACTGTATACACAAACCTACAGCACAGTACACGCTGTATCCAGGCCACTGTACCAGTTTGGGACTTTTCTCAGGACAACAGAAGTCCCAAACTGGTTCTGAAATGTTGGCCATCTATGCACTTCTAGCACTTTATGTAAGTGTTATTTTTTTATATGTAGAAAGAGTGCAGACTACTTTTTGGATTTGTTTGTATATATATACTGCTCAAAAAATAAAGGGAACACAAAAATAACACATCCTAGATCTGAACGAATTAAATATTCTTCTGAAATACTTTGTTCTTTACCTAGTTGAATGTGCTGACAACAAAATCACACAAAAAAATTAAAAAATGGAAATCAAATTTTTCAACCCATGGAGGTCTGGATTTGGAGTCACACTCAAAATTAATGTGGAAAAATACACTACAGGCTGATCCACCTTTGATGTAATGTCCTTAAAACAAGTCAAAATGAGGCTCAGTAGTGTGTGTGGCCTCCACGTACCTGTATGACCTCCCTACAGGGTGGCAGATGGTCTCCTGAGGGATCTACTCCCAGACCTGGACTAAAGCATCTGCCAACTACTGGACATTCTGTGGTGCAACGTGACGTTCGTGGATCATGTCCCAGATGTGCTCAATTGGATTCAGGTCTGGGGGACTGGCGGGCCAGTTCATAGCATCAATGCCTTCGTCTTGCAGGAACTGCTGACACACTCCAGCCTTATGAGGTTTAGCATTGTCTTGCATTAGGAGGAACCCAGGGCCTACTGCACCAGCATATTGTCTCACAAGGGGTCTGAGGATCTCATCTCGGTACCTAATGGCAGTCAGGCTACCTCTGGCGAGCACATGGAGGGCTGTGCGGCCCCCCAAAGAAATGCCACCCCACACCATTACTGACTCACTGCCAACCGATCATGCTGGAGGATGTTGCAGGCAGCAGAACGTTCTCCACGGTGTCTCCAGACTCTGCCACATCTGTCACATGTGCTCAGTGTGAACCTGCTTTCATCTGTGAAGAGCACAGGGCGCCAGTGGCGAATTTGCCTATCTTGGTGTTCTCTGGCAAATGCCAAATGTCCTGCACAGTGTTGTGCTGTAAACACAACCCCCACCTGTGGACGTCGGGCCCTCATACCACCCTCATGGAGTCTGTTTCCTAACGTTTGAGCAGACACATGCACATTTGTAGCCTGCTGGAGGTCATTTTGCAGGGCTCTGGCAGTGCTCCTTCTGTTCCTCCTTGCACAAAGGTGGAGGTAGCGGTCCTGCTGCTGAGTTGTTGCCCTCCTACGGCCTCCTCCACGTCTCCTGATGTACTGGCCTGCCTCCTGGTAGTGCCTCCATGCTCTGGACACTACACTGACAGACACAGCAAACCTTCTTGCCACAGCTCGCATTGATGTGCCATCCTGGATGAGCTGCGCCACCTGAGCCACTTTTGTGGGTTGTAGACTCCGTTTCATGCTACCACTAGAGTGAAAGCACCGCCAACATTCAAAAGTGACCAAAACATCAGCCAGGAAGCATAGGAACTGAGAAGTGGTCTGTGGTCACAGAACCACTCCTTTATTGGGGGTGTCTTGCTAATTGCCTATAATTTCCAACTGTTGTCTATCCCATTTGCACAACAGCATGTGAAATTGATTGTCACTCAGTGTTGCTTCCTAAGTGGACAGTTTGATTTCACAGAAGTGTGATTGACTTGGAGTTACATTGTGTTGTTTAAGTGTTCCCTTTTTTTTTTGAGCAGTGTACATATATATATATATTTATATATACACACTCATACACATTACGTGGCACAAGGACTTATGGGGCTTGCATACATTTTTATTCTAGAGCTGCATTGCATTCCCAGTCCGGCCCTGAATGAGGGAGAGTATCTTCCCAGCTTTAGTCAGTACCTTGGGATCTGGGTATGTACAGTGTGGCCTGAAAATCTTATGCCTGGCTCTTCCCCTCCTGGATATCAATCAGGAGGTCAGGGGTCAGCCGCACAATTGACAGGCTATTCAGTTGTGGAAGGGTCTGGAGCTGAAGCTCCACACACCCCTATATCAATCCGGCCCTACCCAACCGTGATGGCAGCGTGGGAAACAGTTGTCTATAATAGGTTTTTTTTAATTAGTTTTGTATCTTTGTAATCTTTTATCTGCTTACTGAAGCATTGTGAAAAAGATGATGTCATTTGGAATAAGAGATCAAAAAACTTTGATAAACTGAAAAAATCCAAAATTGTACCATACACTAATCATTATATTCCCAAATACTAATTTATTTATTTCTATTTATTCTAATTTGGATTCTTGATGCACTTGCCAAGTTGGTTTTAGGAAAACAAAATCAAAAACATTGCACTCTACTTGTTTTGTAGCCAACAATACAATGCAAATGAAATGCTCTTTTGTCACATATATTGCCAATTAAGACTTGAGCATTCCAATTAGCAATTCTACTTTTTTTCACCACTTCTGTGCCTTTGTTGAGTGAGTATCTGTGTTGGCTGGGAGGGGGTGGGGTTCTTATGTACTACCATCTCTCCTATTGCTATACCTTTGGCAAACTTGGTCTAGTTGCAATGTTTCTGCAACTGCTTATCAGCCGCTGTTTGACTACAACACCCCTAATTATGAGCATACCTGAGGCCAGGGGTCAAGTCCTGGGGAAAAAAGTGGGAACCCCACCCAAAAAAAAAAATGATATGCTCATATGCATATATATAGCTGGGTGAAGGAGTGACAGTGTATGGGGCCTGCAAGTGATTGGGGATGGTGAAATTGTATGGAGGGGGTGTCAGTGTGTGTATGAGGATAATAGAGTGTGTGTGGGGGGGAGTGAGATGGGGGTGTGTGGGAGGGTGACAGGGTGTGTAAGGGGGCTATGACAGGGTTTGTGGGGGAGGGGCTGTGACAGTGTGTGGGAAGACAGGGTGGGGACAGCTGTGACAAAGTGTGGGTAGGAAGGCTGTGAGAGGGTAGGGAAGCTGTGAGAGGGTGGGGGGCTGTGAGAAGGTAGAGGGGCTGTGATAAGGTAGGGGCTGTGAAAGGGTAGGAGGCTGTGAGAGGGTAGGGGGCTGTGAGGTGGGTAGGAAGCTGTGAGGTGGGTAGGAAGCTGTGAGGTGGGTAAGGGGCTGTGATTGGGTAGGGGGCTGTAGGGTGGGTTGGGGGCTGTGAGTGGGTAGGTGGACTGTAAGGTGGGTAGGGAGGCTGTGAGGTGGGTAGGGGTTCTGTAAGGTGGGTTGGGGGGCTGTATGGGGGTATGAGGACTGTGAGTGGGTAGGGGGGCTCACTGACATACAGACACACTTACAGACAGACACACACACGCTTAAAGCCAGACACACACACACACACACAAACACAGATTATTATTTTATTTTAATTTAAATCCAGCCAGCCTCCCTACCTTTGGGAGAGCTGGGTGGATTTTTTACCTGGGGCCCAGTGGGGCTGCTGGCCAGGTTGTTTGGGCAGGAAGGTGGGCAGGAAAGCAGGCGGGCAGTCAGCTGCCACGACCTCATATTCTGGCTCCCGGCATCACTCAGAGGTGCGTTGCCCTCCTGGAGTTCAACTGGCCGCTTACCTCGAGTATAACAATGCAAACGCCTTGTTTGCCTTGCGGGCAGACAAGTCCTGCAGGACTACTATCGTGAACTAAGTGAATAGACAGAAACCTGGCTCTCCCCCTCTGACACTGCCACCCCTGCATCTTTGTCCTTCGGTGGTCTCCAACTTACCCACACCCCAAGAAACTCTGAATGTAAAGGTGGTGGTGTTGGGTTTCTCCTCTCCCCTCACTGCTCTTTTAAACCTCTTCCCACCCCCCCTTCCCTCTCTTTCCCATCATTTGAAATACACTCAATTCGCCTTTTCAAACCCTTCGCTGCTAACATTGCTGTTATTTACCATCCCCCTGGTTCCCCTCTTCTCTTCCTTGACCATTTTGCTGCCTGGCTACCCTATTTCCTCTCTTCTAACATCCCATCCCTAATTCTCGGGGACTTCAATATTCCTATAAACCCACCTTTGACCTCTGCAGCCAATAAACTACTTTCAATTACTTCCTCCCTCGGGCTATCACAGTGGGCAAATTCTCCCACCCATGTAGCTGGCAATACCCTTGACCTAATCTTCACTTATGCATGTACAGTATCTAATATCTGCAACACTCCTTATCCTCTCTCTGATCACCACCTCTTATCGTTTGCTCTCACGTACCCCCTCACCCAACAACCTCCGCCTAACCAGCCTCAACTCAGGAGGGACCTTAATTCTCTTGATCTCCAACAGTTGTCAGCTGACATTGATTCACAACTGCTGTCCATCCCTTCCCTATCCTGTCCTTCACTGGCCATCTCCATATATAACTCTACTCTTACATCTGCCTTGAACACTGCAGCGCCACTCCAAACAAGCACCTCAAGGAGGACCCGCCCCCAACCATGGCATACTAAATCAACGCGCTACCTGCAAAGATGCTCCCGGTGTGCTGAACGCTCCTGGAGGAAGTCTCGCACCCAGTCAGACTTTCTCCATTATAGATTCATACTGTGTTCATACAGTGCAGCCCTTGCCCTTGCCAAACAGTCCTATTTTTCCTCTCTCATTAGTTCATGTTCCCGCAACCCCAGGCGTCTCTTTGACACCTTTAATTCTCTTCTTCGCCCCGCTGTGGCCACCCCCCAAACCAACCTTACTGCTGATAACTTTGCATGTTACTTCACTGACAAAATTGAACAGCTAAGGAAAGAATTCTCCCCTCCTTGCCTTTCTGTTTCTCAATCACACATTGATCATGCCTTTCCTACCCTTCAGACATTCTCCCCAGCCACTGACCAAGAGGTGGCTGCTCTTCTTTGCTCCTCTCGCCCCACCACTTGCCCGCTCGATCCTGTCCCGTCTCACCTTATCAGATCTCTCTCCGCTTGTCTCGTGCCTTCTCTAACACACATCTTCAACTGCTCGCTCTCTTCTGGCATCGTCCCTGCTGACCTTAAACATGCCACTGTAGTACCTATACTAAAAAAAACATCCCTCGACCCGTCCACCCCCTCTAACTACCGTCCCATATCCCTGCTCCCTTTTTCCTCAAAGCTTCTGGAAAGACTTGTCTTTACCCGTGTGTCTCATTTCCTCAATTCCAACTCTCTCCTTGACCCCCTTCAATCTGGCTTCCGCCCTCTCCACTCTACAGAGACTGCCCTTATCAAAGTTACTAACGACCTAATCGCAGCTAAATCCGAAGGCCACTACTCCATACTAATTCTTCTTGACCTCTCGGCGGCCTTTGACACCGTTGATCATGCTCTCCTTCTTCAAACTCTGCAATCGCTTGGTCTCTGTGACTCTGTCCTCTCGTGGTTTTCCTCTTATCTCTCCCAACGCTCATTCAGTGTCTCTTTTTCTAATGATACCTCCTCCCCTCGCCCTGTCTCGGTTGGAGTCCCCCAAGGCTCCGTCCTTGGTCCCCTTCTATTTTCTCTTTATACTGCCTCTCTTGGCAAACTTATTACCTCATTTGGTTTCCACTACCACCTGTACGCTGATGACACCCAGCTATATCTCTCCTCCCCGGACCTCTCCCCTGCTGTCCTGCAACGTGTCACTGCTTGCCTTTCTTCCATCTCTGACTGGATGTCCTCCCGCTTTCTGAAACTCAAGCTCTCAAAAACTGAGCTCCTTGTCTTTCCTCCTCCTAATACTGATCCTCCTCTTTCGCTCTCCCTTCAAGTTTGTGGTACCAACATCAGCCCATCCTTGCAAGCGCGCTGTCTTGGCGTCATACTTGACTCTGGTCTCACCTTTGAGCCTCACATCCAGCATGTTGCCAAATCCTGTAGATTCCATCTTAAAAACATAGCCCGCATCTGCCCCTTTCTTGCACCAGATACTACCAAGGAGCTTGTCCATGCTCTAATAATTTCACGCATGGATTATTGTAACCCTCTCCTGCTTGGTCTTCCCAAAAGCCGTACTGCACCCCTACAGTCTGTAATGAATGCTGCTGCTAGACTGATTTTCCTCTCTAGTCGGTTCTCTCACACCTCACCCCTCTGCCAGTCCTTACATTGGCTTCCTGTGTGCTATAGGAGTCAATTCAAGGCACTAACTCACACCTATAAAGCACTGAACAACTCTAGCCCCTTTTATATCTCTTCACTGATCCACAGGTATGTCCCTTCTCGGTCTCTCCGCTCTGCCCGTGACCACCTCCTGTCCGTTGTCCGCACCCGTACGGCCAACTCGCGCTTGCAGGACTTCTCGCGGGCGGCTCCCTTCCTATGGAATAGCCTGCCTCCCGCCATCCGACTCTCCCCTAGTCTTGCATCTTTTAAGAAGTGCCTTAAAACCCATCTCTTTAGGAAAGCTTATGGCCTCCAAGACTAAACCCTACCTCACATACCCGTCTCTTGCCCTCTCCTAAAGAGCAGCCCACCTTTTTTGATTGCACATTCCTGTCCTAATGTGTCTTACACCCCACCTCCTATAGAATGTAAGCTCGATTGAGCAGGGTCCTCTTCAACCTATTGTTCCTGTAAGTTTATTTGTAATTGTCCTATTTATAGTTAAATCCCCTTTCATAATATTGTAAAGCGCTACGGAATCTGTTGGCGCTATATAAATGGCAATAATAATAATAATAATAAATAATTGTAATATACCAATAAATATTAATACAATATTAATACAATTAAAAAAAAACTTTTGTTATGAAATTTCTGGTTATATACCCAGCACCATAAACTCTTTACAATACCATAAGAGACAATAAGGGACATTTTTCCATTTTTTAAATGCCAGTTTGGGAGCATATTGTTAACTGTTAAGAGACATTCTTTGGTTTGCATTATAATTGCTCCTTATGTAGTACTTTGCCCTTAGAACAGCTCCTGGGTTTGGTTTCCAAAATATCTACCAATGGTAGAGAGGGCCCTCATGCAGAGAGGACCCTCATGCAAGAAGTTATTTGGAGCCCACTAGCAGAGGGGTGCCCAAAGGGTATATCCCCTTCTGTCGTACTCTTCAACAATTGCCAGCTGTAGATTGACCATTTGCACATCCCTGCAGGGTTGTATTTAGCACTGAGTAATGCTTGTGTGTGTCTGTGTGTGTAGTGCTGGCGTTTGAATGCAGACGTGCATTTGTGTGTAGTGTTGGTTTATAATGCAGAGGTTTGTTTATTTATAATGCTGGTGTTTTAAAACATAGGTGTGTGTGTGTTTGTATGTAGTGTTGACATTTGAATGCAGTGTTGACATTTGAATGTTGATGTGTATGTGTGTGTAGTGTTGGTGTTTGAATGCTGGGATGTGTACACAAATACACATACATTGCCAAATACACACTGATACACATACACTAACTTATACACATGCAGATAAACAGACACACGCATACAAACACTGACACAAATACACACATGCAGATACACTGGCATACAGATATACCTATTGATACACGTGCAGATGCATTGATGCAGATGCACAGACACACAGATACAAACAGTGATGCACACACACAGATACAAACACTTACATATATACAGATACAGATACAGACACACAGAAAAAAAGACACACATACAGATACACAGACACACAAAAATATACAAGGACACACATACAAATACACAGACACACAGAAACACACAAATACACACATACAGACACATATGCTGGTCAAAACTTTAGCCACCCTCCATTTACCTACCCTTTGGTTGCAGGGTGGCTTCTTCTGGTTGAGACTGTTGGGAATTAAGGGCTTGCTCTTCCCCCTTTGCCTCCTCCTCTCCCTCCCACGCGGTTAGCTGGGAGGACAGGCACTCACTTCCTCCCAGTGATGGCTGCTGATATTACATAGGGCCAGCTGTTAAAGCACCGCAGGCCCCTGATGAAGCATGACCATCGGGTGACCCTAAGTGCATGGGCCACCCAATGAACCTCCTCAGACTGGGGGCCCCAGTGGAGGTGCTATTCTGGTGGAAAGAGCTTTAAAAAAAAAAAACATGGATACCAATGGAATATTTCTCTACATTTAGCACTTTCCACCCAAAATAGCACACATTCAGTCTTGATAATATTTTTCCATTTAATAATGTATTAAATAATAATAACATTTGGCAATATCTTACATTTGCCCACATACTGTTGCATGTTTATATCTTATGTTTTGCCTGCTACTTTTGCAATGCAATAACCAGTGAATAGTACATCTACATTCATTACAAATAAAAGCATAGTGTTGTGAAAATATTTGCCTGCCCATTTTTCTCTTGTACCTACTCTAAACTGGTTTGATTGTGACACCAATCACAAAATAATTATTATTCTAAAAACATAAGCAAATCACAATAACACATACACAAATACATGCAACTCTTGAGCTTAAAAACATAGTAATATATGCTAGTCACGCAAGCAAGAAAATTGCAAATTACTTTGTATTTTGAATTCACATAATATTATTGTGATTTTCATGCCACAGTAGTGGTTTAATAAAAGCCCTGGATGTGTGAGTATTTTTTACCTTTAATTATACATTCAAAATGTGTTATTGCTTATGTTAATTGTGTGAATATGCTCCTTACTGTAAAATTAATTTCAAATGTCAGTTTATGCTGGACCAGTGTAATAAATGATAATACTCTATTGCTTTTCTCCTTTAGGAGTCTTAAATTATTTTAGATTTTAACTGAATCAAAAGCTAATTAATGCATTTTACAATTACTCAACTTAGCTGTATATTGATGACCTCAGTAGCTCAAAAGACTCACGAAAATCCTTGCGACCCTGAGATTTGAATATATGTTACATGTAGTTAGTTAACTAAATAAATTATCAAACCATCATTTATCCTCACCAAACAGTTAATGGTCACTCTCAATCGGCAATATAATTTTGTAATGTAAGATTTTTTTTCTAGTTAAAGAAGAAACAGTTAAGTCTCTTTGTCACAGATGGTATTAGTCAACTATTCCACCTTCTTACTTCAATAAACGTGATTTAATTTGACAAGAGAGATTCTTGTCATTGTCAGACCACCACATAGTCAATTCTCCCTGCAGCTCAACAAAACAGCAGGAACTGTGTTAGAGAAATTAAAGCCTCGGAAGTGGGATTGTCTGGAGGACATTTCATTATGTCCAAAGTTAGAGAAGATAGCCTACACATTTAGGGAGGTGTCGATCTAAATTTAACCAAACAGGGAAAAAAGAATGGATTGATTTATCTGACAAATGAAATAGATTTTTGAAGAATTGGTTTTTAAATGAAGTCTTTTCTTCCAATGGGATATTTAAAATATTGGCTATTAGAGATGTCAAAAAATTAAGATAATTTTAAGTGAATGTCACGAGAAACTTGATTTAAATTCCTTTCTGACAAAATATGTTTATACTAATGATATCAGAAGTTAGATATTTTTTTAAATATGGTGTGGCAACTGAGGGTGTACATTGGAATATAGAAAGTAATATACATATGCTCTCAAAAAAAGTCGCTTAATTTCGCAAATATCATTTCCACACCAACTAGATTCTTTAATCTCTTCCTAACAGAACAACATGTCAGATCCATCATGACATTTTCAGATTTTCCTAAGCACATATTTGAAGGGGTTAAAGGGACACTGGGAGCACTGGTTATAGGGTTTTCACTGCATATAATATGTGAGAGCTATCTTTCAAGCCATTTTCAAGGTGATTGCTAAAAACAAGGGTCCTGTGGGCACCTAAAGCACGACCCCACTGCTAGGGCTGGAATGCAGAATTGACTGCTCTTATCCTAGCTGTGTGGCTCTTTCATTCAATTCAACATAGACCTTGATTCATCAAGCTCTTTCAAATTACTCAATAATGTTAGAAATACTGTCCAAAAGCTTTATCTACAGAAGTCACCATTAACGTCTATGGGAATTTTTGTACATAAATAATTTGGAAAAGTTTGTTAACAGAATTGAGTTATTTTGGAAAGCTTATGAAATTGAGGCCATATGTTTTTCTAGGTTTTGGAATCAACGGGATATTAGAACTGAGAAATCATTTGAAGATTTGTTTGTGCATACAGGCACAGGTTAAAAACTGATTTTTAATAATACAATAAGCAAAGCACAAATGGCAATGTAAAACAGAATGTGTAATTTTATAAGTTGCATTGAGTAGGCATTGATGGACTGAAAAAGTATGAGCAGCCAGTAGCATACGTTCTGTCTCTTCTATTTAGAGCTCATAGGTACAGCACTGGGGTAAAATCTTTACATGTGTTTATACAAGCTCTGTCACTCAGTATTAATAAAATTCAACATTATATATCTGTAAGTGGTGTTGATAACGTAGCTGGATGCATAGGCAGTCTGACCAAACTAAGTGGTCACCTTCCTACTTAACTTTCAAAAAGAAAGGACATGTACATTTTACGTTGTCTGGTTATTCTGGGATAATGGACCTAGATTACTTTAGTCTTACATATTTTTATCTCATTTTATTGCTACTGATGAGTAACAAGGTGTCATCCCCCTAAACAAACAGAGTCGTATTTGCTTATACTATTAGTTTCTTTACAGCATGGCCCTCAACCAATCAGCCAATATGCCAACCTCCATACACAAGGGTATAAAAGATGGTTCTATGAAAGATTCTGCAAAAACATTGGTTCCTACACAGATAATTGTGCACTTGTAATAATATGTCATCGCCAGCTTTTACACATTATGCAAGAAAATGCCTGTCACCATTATTTATTGGAAGTGACAAATGAGGGGAAATAGCAACACGGCAGCGAAAGCCATTTGCCCCATGTTGCCAAAAACCCCACTCTACGTAAGACAAAGTAGTCTCTAATATGTCTTATGACATCTATTCATTGCATTTTAATTTCAATGAAATTCCAACACAGTCTTTACAAGTTTTTCATTAAGATTCTATGTTTATGAAAATCTGGTAAGCTTGAATTTTTTTCCAACAGGCCATAAATATTTTAAAATTCCTGTGCGGCACACAGATTGTTGTTGTCATTAGAAAGCATAAAGCACTGTGTTCCTGACACTGTGCGATCCTGCTCCTGAAACTGATATGACGAGACGGGGGCTCAAGATTCAGGGAAAGTGCGATTCTCTTTCCGCAGCAACTTTCTTGGCATATCAGTGATCACTAAAGGATTGACTGTAATAAATGGCAGTAGCTGCCCAGGGGTGTAACTTCCACCAAACACAGGCAGACCAATATCCATGTGGTTTCCTAAGATTTAAGGTATACAAACGCTAAACCTAACAGTAAATTATACACATACATATATACATATATATATTTATATTTAACTCTGACTCCTGTATTAATGAAAAATAATAGCATTGAAAAGTTCTGGGCAATCCGCCTGACATTACTTTTTCACATTATTCACTTGATTTAGTATGTTATGCATTTTTGTGTATTTTTGTGCACACATAGATTGCTGCTAAAGGGGTGGTAAAGGGGCGGCCATGGTTGCTAGATTCCTGTCTTCACATATAGACATATTAGTTATTGTGTTCTTTCTTTGAATACAGGTTTCTCAACAATGTTTATACCAAGTCCCCTAGAGTTCCCCTTGTACTATTGTCATTGTTTTGTCTACTTTGCTACACAGTTAATGCAACCCAGTATCTATTATTGTAGACTTTTTGCTTTCTTATTATTTAAGGTAGTTATTTTATTTTTTGGGGGGTATTTCAGCCTGATTATCACCAGAAGAGCGGTCTCTTTGTTTAATATTCAATCACTCAGTGAGACCATTATAGCTCTTATTGACCTTGAGGTTAGGTTAGTAGACGGCCCTGGTGAATTGCTCCTCTCTTGAAATACAAATTAAATTGTAATTTGGGTTTAGTTTATTTTGTCTACTCTGAGTATTTTCCCTGAATAGCTTTTGTTTCTGGGTATGCATTTACTCTATACTGATAACACTATTTAGGTACCAATGTTGTCTATCTCCCCTTTAGTCAGCTTTCAGCCGTTTTGACTTTTTGTTGAGGCTTTTCTTTAGTGTCCCTTAATATATATATATTTTATTTTAAAATTTTTGCAATAAAGCTGTTTCCTTAAATTTACATACTTGTCGCAATGACCTTTCTGTATTTAATGGGTCTTAGGGCTCATTAGACATTTGTGTTTCTCTTCAATTTTACTTTTTTTAGGGGTTACCCCCCTAGTTAAGGTTTCCCTCTTTTGGGGACTAGTTTTTCTCAGAAGACTTTCTTTCTCGCTCTCTCGCTCTCTCTTTGTCTCTCTATCTCTCTCTCTCTCTCTCATATATATATATATATATATATATATATATATATATATATATAATGTTTGAATAGGCTGAAATTAGTTAGCACAGTGGCATAGTTGCTAGGATATAAAATAATACCAGAAAAATCCCAAGCCCTGTGTTTCACTCTGCCCCTTTCATGTTCTCTAAAGCCATTTGTAGTTACCTCTTACATGACATTCCAAACTGTATCCAGTTTGGCAGTATTAAAACAGAAAATGAAGATACATGCATGTTTATTCTGACAATAGCTTCTGAACAAAGTATATGAATTGTGGGGTATTGCTCGTTAAACCAGCTCATCATGCAAGCTTAGTGCTCAACAGGTGATACAGATATTTCCGTATAACGAGCACCCAGTTTTGACTTCTGTCTTAATTAAGAGATGTTTTCTCCTGTTTGGTCAGTTCATGAGAGGATTATTGTTTTGCCGCAAACCTCTCTCCTAACCTGAGAATGGTATCTATCATGCATTACCTCAGGAAAAAAATAAAATAAAAACGAAAACTTGTGAATTCGACTGACAAGACAGGTTGCTTTGGAAACGTGGGTAGTTCCCCCCCTGTCCCCCACCCCCCTTTCCTTCCCTCCTCCTAACTCCACTATTCACAGTTTCTATGGCAGACCACTTGAAACGTGTCGTATCTGAATGAATATTAAATCAAAGCTCTTCGGTTTTTCCTTTTTTGAAAAAGAGACCTTCCGATTAACAATGTACTGCTCATTTAAGATTCCCAGCCCATGCCAGTGTTTACTGGGTTAAACATCGCAGGTCAAGCCATACATATTACATCAATGCACCTATAGTATATTCATGAGAAGCAGAATTTAAAAAACTACTAAGGAAGTTGGCGTGGAATTGTAAAATGTAGAAAGAAAATATATTATGAAGTGTATAGTATATTAAAATTATTGATTTTCTATTTACTTTTTAAAAAAAGCTAAAATAGAAAGCCTCGAATGTAATATCTAAACTATTGTACATAGTAATTGACTTTATAAAATAACATTTTATGACATATTATTATTGTGTATTCTAGATTTAAAAAAAATAATATATTGTTAAAATAATTTCATTCTTAAATCATGATAGTCAAATGGTCAAATGATTTGCTTTTATAATTAAATTTAACATTTAGGCTGTTTTTAGTTGCAGCCAAGCCATGTAGCATAATGCATGAAAGTTCCATAGGTGATAGTGCCTCACCCAGCATTCTCTTTGATCCATCCACGAGGAATATCCATAATGCATTGCTCATAGACCAGGTGAAGCTTCACACGGGTAGCAGAAGATGTTACCATGAGAGTGGTGTAATAACTACAGCTAGAGCTAATATATATATATATATTTGGTTTTTTTTTTATATGAATGTATAGGTCTGTTTTTTGGCATCTTAGTGAGAGCTTTGACTGGCCACACTTTTAGTAACAATAAGTGGGAGCTTTGACATGTGCACAATTTTAGTAGTGGATTATAGTGAATTAACAAAAGATTCTAAGACTTTAATACTCTAAGTTCCAGAATCATTACAGCTTAATGCCGTGATTTTGGTACCTGGCCCTCTTAACCCACAAACACTGCGTTTTCTGTGAACAGTCAGTTTTTCACAATTGTTTGTTAGGACACGTCTAGTTACTCAGAGAGACAATACAGATGCTTCTTATTACAGGCCTACAATGTTTGCAGGACCAAAATTCAGCATCCTCACACTCTGTATGAAGACAACAAATGCTTCCTGTAGAGATACGTTTGTATAATGCATACCTATGAGGATACACAGATTTCTGCAAATGTACAGTTGGCCCTCCAGTGGTTCTCTATGGAGAAGCATTGGATTGTCAGTATTGATACTCTCAGCCAGGGGCAAAGGAATGACCAAAGATAAGCCAAAGTAGGGAGGGATGAAAGGTAAGCAAATAACTTTATTTGAAATGGACACTGTAGTCACAAAAACTTTAGCGTAATGAAGTCATTTTGGTCTATAGATCATGACCCTGCAGCAGTTGCTCAATTCTCTGCCATTTAGGAGATGGATCACTTTCTTTATGCAGCCCTAGTCACACCTCCCTGCATGTGACTTACACATCCTTCCTAAACACTACCTGTAAAGTGAGATATAATGTTTACACTTCCTTTATTACACAGTCTATATAATTTAGAATGTCTTATCTCCTGCACTGTCAATAGCTTGTCAGGCCTCCCAGGAGCCTCCTGTGTGTGATTAAAGATCAATTTACAGACATAACAATTTCTAAAAAAGGTAACATCTGATTGAAAATGAAATTATTATTTTTTATGCAGGCTGTGTGTGTGATAGCCAGGGGAGGTGAGGCTAGGAATGTATTGTGACGAGACCAATCTCGCCACTGTGCATTGGAGGAGCCTGGTTGCCTGCCTGCTGCCTTTTGACTATGGACCGGCATTTAAATACTTTATTTTCCTATGCAGAAAGGTCTATTCCTGTATTTCTGCCCTGGCGTTCGGTAGATTCTCGGATTTACTGAATGAACTCCTTTAACCCAGATAGCTATGCCATGGAGCCTATTCGTGTAATAAAAGACTTTGGCTCCATGGCGATTGAACTGTATGTGTGTGGTCTGAGCGCCATTCAGTAATAATGTGCACTCAGACCTAAGCTATCTGGGGATATGTTGCATGTCTGTATTTTATGTAATAAATGTAACCTTGTGTATTTTATTGTATTTTACTGTCTTTTTACTGCCATGTGCTTAATGGAGTTTTGCCTCTGTCCTTGGAGATAATTGGATTACTTCTCAATTATCTCCAGGATAGAAAACTCTGTGGAACTGGTTTTGGGCAGAAAAGCCATGCTTCATTTGGTCACAAAGGACTTCGATCTATCTTTTGAACCAATGGACCAATTTGGATGATTTTGACATATGTTTGTATTTGGAGTATGCTGATTCTGTAAGTTTTATGTGAATGTGATGCATACTTTTCAAGTTATGAATAATGTGGAAAAACTGTATTTCTCTGCCTGTAATAATTACATTACCCATTGTGTAAGGTAATTGTATCACAGGCAGAGGGGAGGATTTTGTGTGGGAGTGTCTGAGTGTATTGTACGTGTTTATTGGTTGTTTTCCAAAACCCTGTGGGTGGTACTAATGTGTATATAAGAACAATAAACCCACAGCTCTGTCTGTTCCTGCTTGACCCTCAAAACGGAGCTTTGTCTCGTTCTTGGGGGGATTTATGGTATTCTGTTCCAGTTCGACTGCTAGGAGTGTAAACCTATTCGTATGATTTTTCCTATTCGGCTGTTTACAGCATTCATATGGTTCCGGTTCGGCTGTTTACAGCATTCACATGCTTCTCCGGTTCGGTGGATTGGTGTCTACAGTAGCTGTGCCTGTGTCTCTGGAAGGGAATATCTACTAAACGGCGTTTTAACCCTTTTATGCCTGGGGGTGCCATTACATGTATAAACAGAAATAAAAAGGTATTTGACTGCAAAATGGCAGAGAAATGAGCAGTGAAACTCCAGTTCACGATCTATCACATCAGAACTTCTTCATTAGGCTAAAGTTGTTTTGGTGACTATAGCATTCCTTTAACTTCTAAAGGGGGTCATGAATCTAGAACTGAAGGAAATAATTTTAATGTTAGAAATACATGGTTTTATCTCTAACATTAGAGTTTCGTTTTATAAAATTAATATATAAACAAGCACGCACACACACACACACACACACACACACACACACACATATAATGCCTAATGTAACTAAGCTGTTAAGGTCTCCTAGTTCCTTCCAAGTTATTTCTAAAGGCAACAGAGCTAAGAATCTTCACACAGTGAATGACCTTTACAATAGCATTAAGATCTCCCAGCATAATAAAAGAACAGTGGGTTTCGGAGAAGTTGAGCTCTGTGTGAGATTTTACAAAAATGCTCCCTACTCTTAACTGACAGTTTTTATTCTGTATTAAGGTCAACCAAACTACACAGAGAACAATGTTTCCTATTTAATATCAGCATTTACAGGCAGTTAGACTAAATAAACTTTGTGACTTAATTCATAGAAAATAATGTTAGTATAATGTTTGATTGTAGGTAGGTAATAAATGGAAATGGGGAGAAGCAAACAAAAAAAGTCACTTATTTTAATTCAGTAAAAGGAAATAAAGCAACTGAGTTAATAGTGACTTTTATAACTAATGTTAACAGTTGAAATAAAGTAAGTTTGCGAAAGTGTTTAATTGCAGCGTTAAATAATAAATTATATTTGGATTATTACATTTTAAATAGTAAAAATGTTGAATTCATTGTCACATAGAGCAAAAAAAAACTAACATGTCAATTTACCTCCATGTCAAAAAAAGTATCAATGTGTATCTCAAATAAAAAAATAAAAAAATCTTAGAGCAAGTACCAAAACTACCAATAGACATGCATCAAACTCACATTGCCAGTTTGTATTTAATACATAAATTAAGGGATATCTGCAATGAGATACAAAGCTGATGTGCAGTAAATCCTACCCCTGTGCTAAGCATTCATAGAATCTGGCAAGACTTAAGGTATCCAGCAAATGGTCGATATATCACCCCTGAAATACCAGTTCAATATATGTTAAATCACGTATTGGATTCATTCTTTACACATCAATTTGCAGCAAATTAAAAACTAATGTTAGGTCTCAATTTAATATTTGAGGATAAGCTTTTTGAATTATTGAATATTCTTGGATAAACTTTTCAAATTATTTTTGCATAATATCAGAAAATATATAATATTAAAAAATATATCTATATATAAAAATATTGCCAAAATATTACATTTTTTTTTAAAGTTTATTCAAAATTATTCAATCATTTGTAATGCTTATCCAGAAATATTCAAGTGAGGCCTTAATGGCCAATTAGGCAACAATAGTCAATCTGTGACCAATAAGTTGTTTCAAGTTTAGTAATGTTGGTTTAGTTTAGTGACGTTTAGTGAATTCTTCACTGTCAATGATTAACACTGATGAAATTAACATTGCAGTTTACTGGAATACACAGTATTAACCTCAAATCATATGCTATATGAGTACAATGAGAGTGATGAGTGTTACCATAAATAAGGGTTGTCTTTAACATTGATTGGACCCTGGGAAAGCATTTGCTTGTGCCTCCTGGATCCTGCTTCCCCTCCCCACACAGACACACACTTCCCACTTCCACCCCCTGGCATGCAATCACCCCCTCCACCCCAACACAGTGGCAGAACTAATGTAGAGAGGGCCCTAGTGCAAGACATTTTTTGGGACTCTCCTCTAGGGTGGAGATAGATCCTCATCTGTTGTACAATTCTTATGATGCTATGCCATCTGGGGATCAACCATTTAGCCATTCTTGCAGGGTTGTATTTGTGAGCAGTGTTTTTTTACATTTGAATGTGAGCATGTTGTTGTATAGAGTATGTGTGTGCATGTAGGATGTAGTGTTGGTGTTTGAGTTAAGGGGTGTGTTTCTATATACTTTTTGAGTTTGAATTCAGGGGTGTGTTTGTATGTAATGTTTGTGTTTGCAGGAGTTTGTTTGCATGTTGTGTTTGATTGCTCGGATGTAGGAAATACATTCACAGATATACATACACATTAGCACACAGATACATGCACACATCTGGACACATGCACACACTGACACAAACAAACCAGCATATACACACAGAGACACATACATACACACACACACATGCACACACACAGAGATAAAAATACTGGCACATCCACACACAGAGATATACATTTACACACACTGACACAGATATGTACACACATTAAGATACACACAGACACACGGGTACACATGCAGGGGTGTATCTGTGTGCAGTGTTGGTGTAGGAATGCTGGGATGTATGCATTGCCACACACAGGCACATACTGAAATACACACAGGAACACAAATACACATTCAGTAGTGTATTTGTGTGCAGTGTTAGCTTTGGAATGCAGTGGTGTATTTGTGTGCAGCGTTAGCATTGGAATGTTGTAGTGTATTTGTGTGCAGTGTTGGTACTGTAATGATGGGGTGTAGGCATTGCCACATGCATAGATACACACTTACACAAACTGACACTCATATACACACAAAGGTACACATACACAGATACGCAGGTACACATACAAACTGACACACAAGTACACAGACACAGGTATACATACACACAGATACACATAAACACTGACACAAAGGTACACATACACTGACACAAACACAGCCAGATATACACACACTGACACAAACACAGCCAGATACACACACTGACACTCACACAGCCAGATACACACACAGCCAGATACACACACTGGCACACACAGCCAGATACACACACTGACACACACAGCCAGATATGCACACTGACACACACAGCCAGATACACAGACACACGCAGCCAAATACACACACTGACACTCACACAGCCACATACACATACCCGGATATACACACACACACACAACCAGATACACACATTGAAACACATACAGTCAGATACACACACTGGCACACACAGCCAGATACACACACACACAGTCAGATACACACACAGACACAAACACAGCCAGAAACATACATACAGTCAGATACACACACTGACACAAACACAACCAGATACACACACAGCCAGATACACACATACAGCCAGATACACACACCCAGTTACACACATACAGTCAGATAAACACACATACAGTCAGATACACACATACAGCCTGAAACACACACCCAGATACACACATACAGTCAGATACACACAGATACAGTCAGATACACACACACACACAAATATCAATTTACATAGTTTAGCCACCCTCCGGTCTCCTTACCTTTACAAAAGGGTGGCTTCCTTGGGGTCCAGTGGGAGCTGGATGGCTGAGGTTGATGGAAGAATGAGGAACATGGCTACCACAGCCCCTCTCCTCCTCCTTCTGATTGGTGTGTGCCTCCTACTTCTACATGTGTGGTTCCTCCTCCCCAGTGGCACTCTGTTACTTGGAAGAAAGTGATCTCACCTCACTTCCTCCTAGCAGGCAGGAAGAAAGGGGCTCGCTCCGGAGCACTCTTAAAGGGCCAGAGGGGCCCTATGTACTTCACCTGCCGAAGCCCTCCTCGAAATTTCTCAGTATCCCGTGGGCTGTTCAGTCCTGGTTGCAGGCAGAGGCTTCACGAGGCAGCTGCTTTGGGCCCCCCGGGAGTTATTGGGCCTGGGGCAGCTGCCCCGTTTACCCCGTGTTAAAGATGGTCCTGCCATAAATCATTGGCTAAAGAAGCACTTAGAAAACACCAAGTGTTATGCATACAAATTCATTTTCCCCTTTTAAATTCAGCCCTGTGAGTTGATTTCACAAAGGTTGAGAGTCCTAGTTACCGCATGGAAACATTTTTCTGTTTTTTTTTTTTTATGCGAAAAGAAGAATGCTTTTGATAAATATTTGGGCTTTAGCAGCTGTAGTTAAAGAATGTGGTGTCCTGAATTGGAAAAGCACACTAACAGGGTAATGTACAAAGTGAGAATTTGGAGTATCTGAACCAAAAAATAATTGACTTAGAGCATTTTTTTAAGTTTGGCTATTTTGACCTGGAAGGTTTACTCCGACCACCACGACCAGTGATTTGAAGTTGTCATTGTGGTAGGAATCTGTATGTGCAGAGATACCCATATCACCTACAGCCATATCTCGTCTAGAAATATCACCTAACTTAAACCTGCATATTTAGTAATACATAAAAAGTTTTATTCAAAGGGCACTTATATAAAACATCTGTTGTGTAATATCATCCCCTATCATGCCTGGCAACTGCAATGGTGAAAGAGCCTCAGGGGAGTTGACTTAACACAACAGTTAGACATTTATATTTAGGAAACACTGCACAATAATAGTTAAAAGCTTGAGAGAGTCCATAGTACCAACTTGTTTGAAAATAAGCAATGGTGACTTTGGTGTTTCCAGCAGGGCCGTCTTTAATAACGAATGGACCCTGGGCAAGTGTTTGCTTGGGCCCCCTGGGCCCTGCCGCTCTCGCCCCTCACTCCCTGGTATGCAATCACGGCATCCATCCCAACGCAGTGGCGGTACTAAAGTAGAATGAATTTTATTGGGACCCCCAATTGCAAGGTTGGACTAAAGGTGGAACCCCATCTGTCGTGCAACTCCAACAATGCTTTGACAGCTGGGACTCTACCAATTTCCCATGCTTGCAGGGTTGTATTTAGCACTGAGCCATGTTTGTATGTTTGAATGTGAGCATGTGTTTGTATGGAGTATGTTTGTGTGAATGTGTTTGTATGTGGTACTGGAGTTTGAATGCAAGTGTGCATTTATGTGTAGTGTTTGAATGTAGGAGTGTGCTTGTATGTAGTGTTGACGTTTCAATGCAGGAGTGTGTTTTATATGTAGTGTTGAAGTTTGAATGGAGGGGTGTATTTGTATTTAAATTTGCGGCTCAGATGCACAGGTACACACTCTGACGCACAAGCAGATACACAGATACATACACTGACTACATACAGATAAACAGGCACATACACTGACAGACATACTGACACAGGTACATATATTGACACACACACACAGACACATACACTGCTAGACGTACTGACAGACATACTGACACAGGCACATATACAGACATACTGACACACAGACACATATACCGACATACTAACACACACACACAGACACATACACTGATCAACATACTGACACACATACACTTTCAGAAATACTGACAGATATACTGACACCCACATACACTGAGAAATACTGACACACACACACAGGCGCATACACTGACACACACAGACTGATATACTGACACACACACAGACATACTGGCACACAGACAGATATACTGACACATGCATACACATGCACTAACAGACATACTGACGCACTGACAGACATACTGACACACACACATATATACTGACACACAGACAGACAGACATACTGACATGCACACACAGACATACTGACACACACACAGACAGGCATACTGACATGCACAGACAGACTGACACACACACACAGACATATTGAAACACACACACACAGATATACTGACACACAGACAGACATACATACTGACAAAAACACACACAGACATACTGACACACAGACAGACATACATACTGACAAAAACACACACAGACATACTGACACACAGACAGACATACTGACACACAGACACTAACACACACACTAACACACACAAACACACACACACTAACACACACACACTAACACACAAACACACACTAACACACTAACACACATACACAAACACACACTAACACACATTTTTTTTTAAATGTAATCCCCCCAGCCTCCTTACCTTTTGGAGTGCTGGGGGGATTCCTTGGGGTCCAGTGGCCCTGCTGACCCCGGCGGGCGGGTGGCCGGTCGGGCAGGAAGGCGGGCGCGTGAGGGAGCACTCACTGCTTCCTCTTCAGCTCCCTCGCGCGCCGCGTAGGGATGCCGGCGCCGGAAGATGACGTCATCTTCCGGCTCCGGTATCAGTGCGGTGCGCGAGGGAGCTGAAGAGGAAGCACTGAGTGCTCCCTCGCGCGCCCACCTGCCCGACCGGCCACCTGCCCACCGGGGTCAGCAGGGCCAGCCTCGGGGGGCCCTGGGGTGGCCGCCTCCTGGGCCCCCCCAGGGGAAGAGGCTGGCCCTGTGGCTACATACCAGGGTCGCAGCCGCGACCCTGGTATGTACGTCACTGCCCTAAGTGCATGGGCCACCCGGTGGGACGGGAAAAAAATTAATTGATGAGGCAGCGGGGCCCACGGGGCAGGTGCCTCGGGCCCCCCAAGAGAAACTGGGCCCGGGGCAGCTGCCCCGTTTGCCCCGCGTTAAAGACGGCCCTGGTTTCCAGACAGACTCACAGCAAGTAACACAAAAATATTTCATTTCACTGTGGGTTTGTAGACATTAAGCCTGAAACCATGGACCCTGGAGCTGTCAAGTTACACAGGTTCTGTTAACAGAAAGCCTTATAAAGACCAAAGAACAAGGAAGTTAGTAAGGCAAAGCTATTTGTCAATCATTTAACATAATGTAATGTTCTTTCACCCCACCATGACCTGAGTGTATGGAGAGGGGGCTACTCACAAAGCTGTCCTGCTAATAGATGCTGTTGAATGTTTAATGCTTGTATTTTTGGTAGAAGATCCAAAGCTTGTTGGTTCTTTCCCACTAGGGACCAAGGGAGGCCAAAAAGATAAATCCCTATTACAATCCAAATTATTCTATGCCAGACAAAAATATCATGGGAACTGTAGTCCCAAGGGCCCACTTTTTGGTGTACCCTGATATACACATTCAATAGTGTATATAAACAATACCTTGCCAGAGTGTGTGTATTCCATACAAATTTTCATTATCTCGGACAGGCTCCATCAATATTTTGGAATGGCTCTGTCATTGAGTTCTATGTATAAAAAATATTGGTAAGGTAATAAAACAGCACTAGTTTCATATTTGTTTCTTGAATGAGACTGTTTTTTACTGCAGAATTACATACCCCACAAATCCTTGAATGACACACTGAGAGGAAAATATTTAGATATATTTTATGCCACAATAGAAGACATGTTTGTTAAAGCCTTTGCAAAACGGTTTGTCCCATTACCTGAAAACACGACCTGGGTAGTTTTGGCATCAGCGGACTGTAGTGGTTAAGATGCTTGGAGTGATCCATCAATGCACTAAAGTGGCTTAATGGCTATTAGGACAAACAGATACAGATCTGGTGGGCTAATTTTTCAATTCATTCCAGTTACAGTTTTATGCTAAATTCCCTGAAATGTCAGTAACATAAATAGATAGACAGACAGATTGATCAATAGAAAAATCAGTTTCCTTTTAAGAGTGGTTCAGAGCAGTGGTTGCCAACCCAGGCACAACAAAAAGAACAGATTTTGTTTGCATCCACCTAGACACAGAACTCAGTAAATATCTAAATGCTGAACTGTCCGTGTGGCTTGACAACATCATTTTTTAGTTAATTTTGCTAAACAGTTATTGCTTAACGAGTAGAACTTTTTTCACTTGTTGCTAGACGAGACAGGGGGGATATGATAGAAACATTTAAATACATAAAGGGAATCAACACAGTAAAGGAGGAGACTATATTAAAAAGAAGAAAAACTACCACAACAAGAGGGACAAAGGTTTAAAAATAATATCAGGAAGTATTACTTTACTGAGAGGGTAGTGGATGCATGGAATAGCCTTCCAGCTGAAGTGGTAGAGGTAAACACAGTAAAGGAGTCTAAGCATGTGTGGGACAGGCATAAGGCTATCCTAACTATAAGATAAGGCTAGGGACTAATGAAAGTATTTAGAAAATTGGGCAGACTAGATGGGCCGAATGGTTCTTATCTGCTGTCACATTCTATGTTTCAACAAGAACAACGTGTGTAAAGTAAAGGCTATGTGCACAGCTCTGTGTGAGCATTAAAACCTTTCACTGCTTGATTGCTTATATTAGCACAGACAAGACTTTGAGATGTGGCAAACTGCACACACCATTATTTGGGAAACTCTTTGTCAGTGACAGTGAGGAAGTTTCGTTCTCAGCAAAAGTGATGACGCTGACAAAATTCAGGCAAGCTCAGTCAATTATCTCTAATAGCTCTTGTATACGGTACTTTCAAAACTTATTATGAAATTCTCAAAATGTAAATGCATATCCGTTATACATTGCTTATCAAGCTTGCAGAATAAATGTGTGTGTCGGGATTCTTTTTTTCAGGTGTGGAAAAAGCTCTTGTTTGGACTTTGCTTTTTCCACGCACTTGTCCAAGAACGACGTGCCTACGGGTCTCTTGGATGGAACATATCATACGAATTCAATGATGCTGACCTCAAAATCAGTGCTAAGCAGCTTCAGGTGGGTTTCAATAAAGAATGCAAAGTGTTACAAAAATCAATTATTTTCATAAAAATGCATAGATTTCAAAGGAGTGATGTTCAGAATTACTCTGCTGGCTGCATGTACTCAACCATTAAAAAAACAAAAAAAAATACTCCTAAGGATTTATTTACAAAAATTGTTTGTTTGTTTTTTAAGTCTGTACTCCACTGTGAATCACTTTAAAGTTTCTGTTTCTTTAGTAGCTCTTTGAACTTTTCTGCGGTGAATTATCTTGAGCTATCAACATACCTGAAAAAAATATTATAAAATAGAAGAGATTAAACAGACAATTACAGAATAACTCGCTGTTTTGCAGATAAATCCATCTTCGTTCCAATCATGTTAAATCACAAATTAAAACATTAGAAATAAAATAAGAAAAACGAAATCAGCAATAAAACATAGCTCCCTGAAAACATTTGTGACAGGCAGAACCGAACCAGTTTGCCTCCATTTTGAATCAGCATGCAGTCGTATACACTCTCTTCCCAACCTCTTATGGACATTATCCACTCCCAAAGCCTCATTTATACTACCCGCCACAAGATTCTTATTGAATTCTTGGTTCTCATGGCGCGCAACAATATGCCCCCCCAAGGAACTACTTTTCTTAGCTCCATTAGCAGCCCTTTCAACAATCTCACCAGACCTTCCCTTACACCAATGGTCGGTACAGGGCATTACCCATGTTCATTCCCTATTCAATAATAATGGTGTACTTCCCTTTCCCGAATTGCAATCCTCCCATGATCTACCGTCCAGAGACATCTTTCTATACCTGAGAGTGAAACACATCCTAATATCTAAGGTAATAGAATATATGGACCTAGCATCACTAAGCAAACTAGGACGTAAATGGTATATAACCAAAAAAACGCTACCCTCACCCAAATTACCATCACTCTGCTACTTGGCACAAATGGGCATTAGAGACACTAGCAAACTGCCTTACATGCTCAAATGGGAAGAGGACTTGGGAGTGATGGTCCCTATATCCGACTGGGAAATGGCCATTAACCACACCAAACAGTCCTCAAATTGTGTCACACATTGGGAAGCCTACTTCAAGATACTAATGAGATGGTATATGGTTCCTAGTAGACTCAGCACAATTTATCCCACAACAGATTCTATTTGCTGGAGATGCAAAATAGGAAAGGGCACATTAAGACACATTTTCTGTGACTGTACGAGAATACAGCCTTTCTGGGTAAACATACAATTGACAATACGCACAATGATAGGTCTAAAAATTCCGCTCACACCAGCTGGTTACCTCCTACATCTAATACCCAACCTGGGTGCTATCCCATCTAGAGCTGCTGTTATTAATACTCTTTTGGCAGCAAAAATAACTATTGCTTTCCACTGGAAAAGCGACATTTGCCCTTCTACATTAGAGGTGCTCAGCAGAGTCAAAACCACATACCATCACGAAAAAGAATGGGCTAAAAGGGGCAATGTGGAAAGTTTCCAAGACAAATGGTATGACTGGGAGCCTTTTTACAATCAATACACTACATAATTGGGAATATTAACTGGTCTCACTACAAAGCTGCCATCTCTGGCTCCAATTGGCACAAATAACCAGCATAACCAAACCTATTCTTTAGTCCTTTTCGTACTCTCCTGTTTCCCCTTACCTATCTTACCCTAATCCCACTTGCTACTCTAAGCCTCATAACTTGACGGCTCTCCCATCCCTCTCCCTCAATCCCATGTGGGGTGAATGAATGAACCCTAAATTTATATTAGTGAAACCATACGCTCTCCACAACAGGCCACAGTATCCCATGAGCATAGTCAAGAAACAGATCAAAACTGGTGCACAACCCAACCTATGTCCCTTCTAAGATGGGTTGAAGGGTGTACTATGTCACTACAACAGTACAGTTGGGAAATATATAAGGCACGCCAGTTGTTGGAATGTAATGATGGGTAAATTAGAATGCAATCCACAATATCGGAATGTACAGACACGCAACATCACGGTTACACAAAGGTCCAACAGCAGTTTAAGCTTGCAGAATCTCATGATAAACTGTTTGTAACCATATCTGTTTCTGTATGTGTGATATGTAATACACTATTACTAGACTATGTTTTGTTCATTTCATCTCCCTCACTGCCAATAACCTTTGCTGTTATGTTTTTATACATGCAAACCAATAAAAACTATATAATGAAAAAAAAAGAATAACTAACTTACAGTATACATTATGTTCAAGGACATGGTATATGTTTGGGATGTTGCACAGTTTAGAATTTGCTGGACAAGCAGAACACAGGGTAAACCATGACAAATGGATGACGAACATTACAAGAACATTTTTTAAAAGATTAGTTGAGAGTTAAAATAAAAAAAAGAAAGAAAGAGAGAGAAATATTTGTGGTGTCAAGCTAAAGTTATTACTTGGTAAACAGCGCCATCAGGGGGCAATTAAAGATTATTGCAATATCACGATTAACTTATTTTTTTGAGACACATTATAAAGCATAGCTCTGAGGGTTTTTGATAGTAAATTAATTTCAATTAGCTCATTCTTACGTTAAAGTTTATTCTTGTACTGTGCCCATCTAGACATACGGTATGCTTTACTGGTTTAGTAATGGAACAAAATTTCCATATAGTGATGCTATATCCAGTGTGTGAAAATGGTCTATGTTCAGTCTTCAATTTAACTTTACGTTGACATATTTCCTGTTGAACTATACTTAAATAGAGATGTTGCGAACTGTCCGCCAAACTGTTCGCAAACTGTCCGCCGGCGAACAATAGCGTGTTCGCGTTGGGCGAACATATCCGATTTCCGGTCCGCCCCCTATACGTCATCATTGAGTAAACTTTGACCCGGAACCTCACAGCCAGCAGACACATTCCACCCAATCAGCAGCAGACCCTCCCTCCCAGGAAGTGTCTGCTGACTGTGAGGTTCCGGGTCAAAGTTTACTCAATGATGACGTATAGGGGGCGGACCGGAAATCAGATATGTTCGCCCAACGCGAACACGCTATTGTTCGCCGGCGGACAGTTCGCGAACAGTTCGGCGGACAGTTCGCGACATCTCTATACTTAAACTCTAAATTTCCATTAAAGAGATCCAAGTGAATAGACCAAAATTTATGGTGTTTAAAACATTGTATTTATCCCCTAGGGAGAGAATGCAATCTAATCCATACCTTAATGTATAGATTTCCTAAACTAAGATGTATACTAATCAAATTTATAAGATTTATTTAGCCAAGAAGTCTGATGTTCTTGTTGTGACAATTTTGGTCAGTCTATTATTTCTTAAGTACATTGGAGTAGAAGTAGGTATTGTTTTATTATTATTTTCACATACATAAATACTTACCAAAGTATCATAGGTATGATTTAAGTATGTACTATATGTATCTATTTATTTTATATTAACGGGCAAATCAAGTTTTAGAATCCCATAAAGCATGGTGATATTATTCCTGCCATAATTGCTCATATTGAACCCCATGTAGTCTGTAGTCCCTAATCTTGGACTGAACTGAAACATACATATGCCAGGATGCCTGAGACTGTTGGAGTTACACTCTTGAGCATCGCCTACAATAATTTTAATGACAGCAGCTGAAATAGCAGTCATTTGGAAATATAACTCCCACATTCTCAGATAGCATTGGGACATGTATGTGTTGCGCCCAGTCTTAGAGTGACTTTCTGACTTGTGTTTTCTGATTTGTAGTTCGGCCATTAGTTCTTTGTTGTTTATACAACTGAACATTAACCGTATAGATAAGATCTCACAGTACCCAGGATTCCATTCCATTAACGCCGTTATTATTTCCCCTACCATCCCTCTCCATGATAAATTATAGTAATATAGCAGAGGCCTAGTTACTGGAGGAGCTGGGGTCACAATGACATGACAATCATCTATTATCTTGGAACAGAAACATTCTTAGATGCCCTACACATTAATGTAGTTTGTAAAACCACCACCCACAATACTCCAAAAACGGTTTCTAAGTCAAACCAAACCTGCTCAGGGTAAGAGTGGATAGCATGTGCACACATTGTAATGAATCATGAATACATGTGTTAGTGGGTGGTCTACCTGATATGATTCATTGGGCTGATGTTCAAATGTTATATTTGTTTTAAAAACAAATATGGGGGACAGGTATTTTTCAATAATGCAATATTATTATTTTTTTTACTGGGTTACTTAGATTGATGTATATATTTGCTCTAGATGTTTCTCAATGAATATGATCACGCGCCACTTGATGCTATCAGTTATCTTACTGGAGAATGCAACTATGGCGGAAGGGTAACAGACAATCATGACAGGCGCCTTCTTCTAAGCTTGCTTGACACATTTCTCTGTGATGCTGTGATTTCTCAAGACAACTACAAATTTTCTCCCAGTGGCAAGTATTTTACCCCAAAGGATGGAACTCATGAAAGCTATCTAGAATACATCAAAAGCCTGCCTCTTAACACTGATCCACAGGTACGCATATATCTTTTTAATTAAAAAATAAGTTTATAAACAAATATAACTACTGGAATTGTTCTTATGAATTATATCCATGTTTCAGTTGCATAGTTGCTCATGTTACAGAAGACTATATATTTAATATAGTGCTGTTTGCAAATGTTTATTTAATTATCACAAATGAGCACCAGTGCATTGATATGCATTCAGACTCAGAAAAAAAACACTTTAATAACAGACAATATTCAAATTATGTATAATATGTGGAAATTAACTTCCCTTTACTGGATACCCAATTCTATGTGAAACAAGAAAAGAGAATGTTTAGGTAGAGGCGTAACTAGAAAGCACGGAGCCTCCGTGCGAAAATTTCCCTGGGCCCCCTCCATATGTGTAACCTCCACCCCACACGTCCCCGCACCCTGCCACACATGCAGACACACACACACTGTCATGAAGACACACATGTGTAGACTCACATATACATACATACATACACACACACAAACATACAGACACACACACATACATACAGACGCACATACACACACATACAAACATACACACAGAGACCCATACATACAGGCACACATACATACATACATACATACAGACAGACAGACACACATACATACACACAGGCATGTAGACACACATACATACATACACACATACATACATACATACATACAAACACACACATACACACTTACATACAGAGACACATACAGACACACACACACACACACACACACACATACACATAGACAAACACCCACACATACAGACACACACACACATACACACAGAAACACATACATACAGACACACACACAGAGACACATACACACAGACACACACACATACATACAGACACACACACACATACACAGAGACACTTACACACAGACACACATACATACATACATACATACAAACACACACACACATGCAGACACACACACACACACACACACACACACATGTAACATGTTTAAGTCACCCTCCTGTTTCCTACCTTTTAGATGCAGGAGGGTGACTTCCCTGGGGTCCAGTGGTGACTTAGCCTGATGGGAGTCAGCATTCCCACTCTGACTCCCTCCTCTCTTACTTCCGTGCGGCTCCCGGTGGTTGCTGGGAGGAAGTGACAGGGGCAGTCACTTCCTCTCTGTGCTCTGATATCATCTCAGGGGGCCCGGTCGCGCTGTTAAAGCGCCACATTGCTGACTGGGCTCTCTGGATATTCATTGCTATCGGGTACAGTGGCGGATCCAGGGGGGGGGCAACGGGGCAATTGCCCCCCCCGAGAAATCCGCCGGTCTCCCTCTCCCTCCCCTGCCAGCATGGCAGGCAATGTGCTGAGAGCCGGCGGGGGAGGGAGGGGAAGTGAGAGAGGACCCGGAGCTCAGTCTGCAGCTCCTCCGGGTCCTCCTCTCGTGAGATTTGAAGCATTGCCGCGGTTACCACGGCAACGCTCCAAATCTCGCGAGAGTGAACTCTAGCCCGGGAGCGCGGGCTAGAGTTCACTCTCCACACTGGGACCACCAATGAATCGCCCACCGGACCACCAGGGATCGAAATATGTCCCCCCTCCTCCCCAGTAAAGGTAAGAAGGGAGGGGGGACATATTTCGGATAAATAATTAAATTAAAAAATTAAATTCGAATTAAATTAAAAAAAATATATATTATAAAAAAAAAGCCACAGACACATACATTGCCCCCAATAATACTGCCCCCCCATACACACACACTGCCCCCCCATTCACACAAACTGCCCCCCCATACACACAAACTGCCCCCATACACACCACTGCCCCCATACACACAACTGCCCCCACTACACAACTGCCCCCATACACACACACACTGCCCCATTCACAAACTGCCCCCCATACACACACACACTGCCCCCCATACACACACTGCCCCCCATACACACACACTGCCCCCCATTCACACACAAATTGCCCCCCATACACACAAACTGCCCCTATACACACAAACTGCCCCCATTCATGCAAACGGCCCCTATACACACACACAAACTGCCCCCATTCACACACACACACTGCCCCCCCATACACACACACTGCCCCCTATTCACACAAACTGCCAAGTTCCCCATACACACAAACTGCCCCCCCATACACACAAACTGCCCCCATTCACACAAACTGCCCCCATTCACACAACTGCTCCCCTATCTACACACACTGCCCCCCTACACACACACTGCCCCACATATACACACATATTGCCCCCCATACACACACACTGCCCCCATACACACACACTGCCCCCATACACACGCACTGCTCCCCCATACACACGCACTGCTCCCCCATACACACACTGCTCCCCCATACACACATACTGCCCCCCATACACACATACTGCCCCCCACATACACACACTGCCCCCCATACACACACACTGCAACTGTTACACACACACACTGTCCCACACATACACAGCATCCCTGACATACACTGCCGCCCTCACTCACACACTACAACCTTCACACACACACTGCACCCCTTACACATTGCACCACTCACATACACCACTGCTCCTATGCCCTACTACAGCCCCATTTCCCAGCAGATCTCAGGTAAGTTGTCAAACTGTTCTTAACCAGTTTGACTACTTACTGTGGGAGGGGGTCCCGGCACTATTGACACCATAACCACTACACTGAGCTGTAGTGGTTATTGTGTCTGGATTATTTCTTTAAATAATCTACAAGTGCCCCCCCCGAGATCAGGCTCTGGATCCGCCACTGATCGGGTAGCCCTAACAGCGTTGGCTAACTGATCGGCCCTTTAACGTGTGGCCTTTGCGGGTAAACAGGGCTGCCAGGCACCCTGGAGTGACGGGCCTAGTCGCAGCTGCGCCCCCTGCCCACGCCGTAGTTCAGCCACTGCTTTTAAGGGAAAATTCTAAAAGTGGAACAGTCAGCAACTTTAGGGTGGTAAATCAGGACTGCTTTATAAACACAACCTATAGGTATGAAATACATTACAGCTAAACAGATATTATTGTGAGTGGAAAATGTTACAAATTCATAGACATTCAGTTAGTTTCAACGGCAATTACCCCTTATTTACTTCTTTTCCCCAAAATTGCATCTGATTTTGTTGCCATGATTCAGATGTGTGGATATTGGGTATTTAAACCAGTTGTAGCACTTTCTTCCCTGAATTCTTTACCTTGCTCTCCTAGTAAATAATTTGCTTAGCTTGGGAAAAACAAGAACGTTTCCCAAAGTAGAGTAACCTCACCATGATGTAGGCTTCTCTGCTTACATGGTACATTGACATTTGAACATAGGCTCATGTGTCACTTTGAACATAGGCTCATGTGTCACTCGATTCCTAGATAAAGTGGAAGGTGCTTGTGTTCCATGTATGAATTCTATGTATGAAAAGATAAACAGAAAACCTGCAGTTGGCAAGTAGTCATTATTTTTCACCATCAATTAGTCCTTGTCATACAACTGCAATTATTTACATAAAAGACACCATTAATCTACATATTCAAGTGAAGAGCAGTACTCTTGGTAGCTGAACATTTCCAACATCAAAAACTCTTTAAATGTGCCTGTGTGTGGCGCTGTGGGATAAGAAAACAAAAATATACACTTAAAGCGAAAATTAGATACTGTATACAAACGTATAAAAAGTATGCTTCTGGGTGTACTATTTTTATTTTGAATATTCCATTTATTAGTGCATTCATATTTATCCCCTGAAACACATCACATATATGTATGTGTGGGAGGAAAAGGGGGAGGGGTACAAACATAACCAATACTTAAAAATCCAAACTGTAGCAAACTGATATCCACAAGCAAAATTTATGTAAAGATTGTAGATGTGGAAAAATGTTCCAACTCATCTAAAGTTGCAACGTGGTTATTTGCTCCTGATTTCTGCTATTATAACTTTATTTACTACAGTTTGGGCCATAGTGAATAACTCTAAATACTCGTGTACCTGAGGCAAAAGTATTTGTATCGTAATTAATATGTTTTCTACAGGTATTTGGACTACACGACAATGGAAATATCACTAAAGAGCAGAGGGAGACAGCAGAATTGTTTGATGGGATTTTAACAACATTACCAAAACAGGTAGTTTTTGCATTAGAATATAATTTTGTCTGAACTCAATATAGCACAGAGGGGCTGTTGAAGGGGCAAAAGAGACAGACTGGGGCTTGCGAGAGATACCTAGAGGAGCTAGGAGGACACAAAGTGACACAGAGGGGCTGGGGAAGGGGCAAAAGAGACAGTCTTTAACTAAACCCATTTGATTGTAGTTGTGTCGACTAAAATCTACTGGAGGTTTAGTCGACTAAAATCTACTGGAGGTTTAGTTGACTAAAACTAGACTAAAACAAAAACAAACCGGATCACAAAAATACGACTAAAACTAAAATGGCGTTTTAGTCAAAAGACTATGACTAAAACTAAATTTAAATATGTTACCATATTTAACACTGATGTACACGCCAAACAGTGAAAATATTAACTTCTAATGACCTTTTTTCACGTCATGCTTAATTTTCTTATAAAGTTATATTAATATTTTAGCAAATTACTTCCCAATCCGGTTAAGACCAAGCACAGCCTGGGTAAACACTGTAAAATAATAGGAGAAACAGTAACATTTGGGAGAGATTTATGAACTTGAATAAATGAATATAAATGAGTAAAAGTGGGACAATCAACTTGGAAACAAGTAAAACCAGCAGTTTCGATTGGTGACTCTTCTCCTTGAAAATGTTTTGCACCACTTTTTAGAACAGAACATTTCTTTGATAAATCTCACCTGTTTTATTTCTCAACTTCTCAGTATGCTTTCTGTATGCTGACTGTCAGATACAAAGGGCAGAGCTTATAAAAAAACTGCAAGAAAAAGAAGTGTGAATTTCTACATTTAATTTTTCAATTTTTACACCTCAGTGTCCATATTTGTAGGGTAAAGTAAACATGATACTAAATATACTGAGAAGGCATAGTTACCCTTTAACCACTTAGGACATTATGAAGTTCCATGCTGTTGTCTACAGAATGGACTTTAAAGGACCACTCTAGGCAGCCAGACCACTTCAGCTTAATGAAGTGGTCTGGGTGCCAGGTCCAGCTAGGGTTAACCCATTTTTTAATAAACATAGCAGTTTCAGAGAAACTGCTATGTTTATGAATGGGTTAAGCCTTTCCCCTAATCCTCTAGTGGCTGTCTCATTGACAGCCACTAGAGGCGCTTGCGTGCTTCTCACTGTGATTTTCACAGTGAGAGCGCTAGCGCCCATAGGAAAGCATTGTGAATGCTTTCCTAGTGACGGCTGAACGCGCCAAGCTTGCCGCTGTGCGCATTCAGCCGACGGGGAGGAGAAGAGGAGGATCAGAGGAGGAGAGCTCTCCGCCCAGCGCTGGAAAAAGGTAAGTTTTAACCCCTTTCCCCTTTCCAGAGCCGGACGGGAGGGGGACCCTGAGGGTGGGGGCACCCTCAGGGCACTATAGTGCCAGGAAAATGAGTATGTTTTCCTGGCACTATAGTGGTCCTTTAATGATGTTAGGACAGCATGGACAGCCCCAAAGTTTTTAGTGTGTGCAGGGATAAATTCCTGCTCACACTACATGACAGCCCGGAAGCATCACACACGCAGACGGAGGGCATTCAGCCGCCAGCAGCAACAGTACAGCAAGACCCTCCACTACTCCCAAAATGGGAAGGATTGGGACTCCCAGGGTTTCAGAGTTCATGGCTCGCTGAAGCTGTCCTCCAAACAAACCTGGGGCTGGAGGGTTACCTTACCTCGCTCCCACTGTGCCACTACATGCAACAACTACCTTCCTTCCAAAGAATTCCTCCCAAGTGTGGGCATAGGTTGACTCTGGACTTGTCCTATTACATGCCGCTGGTGCTGCATAGCTATTTATGAATGCCGTTTTCCCCTCCTCAGGCATTTGCAGCCCAAATTCGGCAAGCATTATTATCTTTACTTTCTTTCCCTTTCCTTTTTTATTAATATATTCCTTATTTAGGGTGATGTAGAATCTATCTAAGTCACACTCCACACAACATATGTTAGCACGTTACAACTCACTTGCAATGTAGGAGACATTGCATGGCAGTTAGTATTCTTATTCTGTGACTTCTGTTATATCATATGCCATGTTAATGTTTTTTCTAGAATGCTTACATCTGCTTTTGTGGCACTGTAAACCTAACTGTATCTCTTTTGGACAAATATATATATGTACATTATTTTTGTAAATGTGTGAATTCGGTTTTATTTTTCAATTCTGTGGTTTCTGTTGAACACTTTCTCTGTGTATCACACACCATCTAGGCAAGTGCAGCTGGAAAATCATCATCGGAAATCGTGCAGGAACTTACAGCTGATATCCTGGAGAAGATCCCGGCAGATTTTAATGTAGAAGAAGTCATGGTATGAAACATGCCTTTTAATCGTTTTTTTGTCTTTCACATTTTATATGAGTATTATGGCACAACACCATTCTCCTTATCTGCTGTTGATGAGCAAAATGTCTTATGCAGACCCTAGTTCAGTAATGGTTTTTCTTCGACATTCCGAGCTGTATGGTTCAAGCGAAACATGATAAATAGAGAGTGGCAATGTAGCAATTCAAAGGGGAGGAGTTAAGGAAAACTTCAGAAATATATTAGGATGTACAGTATATGTAATGCTGATGCCTGGATTTACTAATATAAATCATATTTATTGCATGTATTTAGTAAATGTGTGCATTGTATCCACAAATAGTCATAATGTTAATATCCTGGTAGCATTTTTAGATTCTGCATTCCCGAAAATACCTGCACATTACATTTGAATAGTTTTATAGCTACTAGAAAAGTTAGTGCTAATAAAAACTAACACTTTATTAGTAGCCAGATAAAATGATAATATCTAAAAAAAAAAATCCTGCACAGTAGCAAAAGTGTTCCTAAATAATGATATGATTATAAAATACGACCACAAAAAAACACTTCTATAACTCAAAGGGGAATTAAATTAACCAATAGCAACAGTACTCACCAGAGTTGAGAGTCCACGTGAAGGCACTCTGCCGAATCGTATTATCGGATCAGAGAGTATGCTGGTCCTTGAAACAGCTTGTGTCTGATAAAGTTTCTCCTAGTAGCTGTTCTCAAAAGAAAATTGTTCTATTCTTTTAAAATTGCATTTTCTCATGTGTGCTAAGTTTTGTGAACCTTGAAAGTATGAAAATGTATATTATTTAATCTTTAATACTTGATGGACTTCACCCTTTCTACAAAGAATAAAGTAATAAAACACTGTCAGGGTTCTTCACTAAAATGAGAATTGGAAGTATAACTGGCTAAGATAATTTTTCCAGTTCAACTATTTAGGCCTTAAAGTTGAAACTCACTTTGAATTCACACCAAATTCTCACTTTAGTGAATAATTCTGTAAAATTCTGCAAAGTTATATTATTAACTCATTTATTTATGTAATGATAATTGCAAATCAAGTATACCAATATATATAGTTGTAAATTAACAGACATCCAGACAGCTGGATACAAAACTGTTCATTAATAAGACTGGACAATATGTCACCCATTTAGACTTGACAAAAGGAGATTTCACTTATAAAAGGGGAAAGTTTTCTTTTCAGTAAGAACAGTACATTTGTGGAATTCAATGCCTAAAAAGTTTGCTTTATTGCATTGTCTACAGATTTTATTTTAAATGTTTGGATGCTTTGTTGGAAAAGCATGAATTCAAGAACAGTTAATATGCGGGATAAAGTGGATCAACAGCAATACAGGCTGACAGTGATGTATTCAAGTCTTTTATTAAGCCTAAATTATCATGTAACTATGTAAACATGATGAGTAAAAGGGGAACTGTCCCTTCTCCAATATTTACGCCATTAACCCCTAAGGACACATAACGTGTGACATGTCATGATTCCCTTTTATTCCAGAAGTTTGGTCCTTAAGGGGTTAAATAAAACATTGAAAATCACTTATGACTTGTATTAAAAGAAAATGTGTGAGATGCTCTGGTTTTTGTTTTATTATTTATGTTGAAGATTAGGTAAATTACATCATAATCCAGTTCAGACAAGGCAAAGCCAGGACAAAGATTGCAAATTGCAAACATAGCAAATAAAAGAATTGAAAATGTTATAAAAATGTTAAATATCACTATTTTGTTTTGCTTCAGATCAGATATCCCACTCAATACACAGAATCTATGAACACAGTTCTGGTTCACGAGTTATTGAGATTTAACTGTTTGACCTCTACTATTCGTAAAAGCCTACAAGAATTAACAAAAGCCATATCTGGCCTATCTGTGATGTCACCCGAACTGGATGATTTGTTCAGCAGCATGATTGTTGGTAAAGTAAGTTATTTGTGAGCTTCAGTACGTGGGGCCTACAATACGGCTTGGCATTGAAATTAATATGCAAGTGCTGTCATAGTACATTTTGATTCTCATTACTCATCTACCAGTCTTTTCATCGCAAAGAATCTTTTTCACTCTTTCGATTCCCCGTCTTCCATTCCCCAGAGATCTGTCATGCTTGCTGCGTAATTGGTTTTAAATATATATTGTTGCCTCTATCTATAGCAAAGGGTCTGCCGATATATAAATTAGGATTCTTTGTAGTTAAAAAAAATAAAAGCAAGAAAACACACACTTCAATTTTCTTAGTACAATCAGAAGAGAAATTGCTGGATGGATGTGTACATTGAATAGAAGGATCTGTCCTATTTCAAGAATGTGTTAACATATGTTATTAAATCAGGATAAACTGTTGAAATCACATAGGTATAAAAGCAAAAAAGCAAAGAGACAAAACAACAAATAGGCAGAGAACAGTTATTGAGCACATTCAATTATTGCAAGCTCTGTTATAGTTAAAATACAATACACGGCTTTTATGTGGATTCTATAAGGTTAATATGTGCAATAAAGTGATGTATTACATTTTAGAAAGATGTTTAAACAGCAGTGTGACACATTTCTTGTAAATCAGGCTTATTCATACAAAGAAACAAAGAGTCCGACCTCTTTGATATTTCTACCCACTTAGTCTAAATTTTTCAAGCTTGTCTTTAGTTTTAATAAGTCAATTTACAATGTAGCTTGCTTAGAAAATGTAAAAAGGTTGGGCTGTAATAACCTTAAGCATGTCTATGCGATGCTTTAATTAAAGGGACACTGTAAATTTGGGTGACAGTGTATATGTGACTGTGTGTGACTTTATCCAGTTGCGAGTGACCATGTTTATGACTATGTGTGACTGTGTGTTACTGTACATGTGACTGAGTCCATGTGGCTGTGTGTCCATGACTATTTGTGACTGCATACGTGTGTGACTGTGTGTCTTTTGTATGTATTTGACCGTGTGTGTGATTATGTTGTGACAGTGTGTGATTGGGTGTCTGTGCATGTATCTGTGTGTCTACAAACGCGACTGTGTCCATGTTGGTATGTGACAGCATGTATGTTTGCATGTATGTTTGTATGTATTCATGTGACTGTGTATGTATGCGTGGGGGGAGGGTAAGAGGGTTAGGAGGTACAAAAGATATGGGGTGTTAAGAGACATGTGAGAGATACGTGGGATAAGGGTATAAGAAATACACAAGAGGTAACTTGGGTTAAGGTGCACACAAGGTGGAAAGGGGGGATTGGGAGAAACACACAACGGTCAGGAGACACATAAAGAGGTAAGGGAGTGCAGAGTGACACAGCATAGTTTATTATTTGCAGGGGGTGCCAACATACACATCTGCTCTATGTGCCAAGTACACTCACTCTGGCTAGTGAGCAGCTATTAATTCAACCCTTCTCCTAATAGTGATTTGTACTAGAGGAGTTAAGTATACAAAATAGCACTGATTCTGTCTCCTCGGTTTCTCTGTCGGCATCATCTACACTCTATAAATGTTTGCCATACATGCACTTAAATATATGTAAAAAACGTATTTTTATTAATATTGCATACTTTTTATGTCACAATCAGGTCCCTGCTTTGTGGTCTGCTAAATCCTATTCTTCATTGAAGCCTTTGGGCAGCTATATTACAGACCTTGTGCAAAGACTGGATTTCTTTAAGGTAAGATTATTGGTGTGATTTAAATTAAATAATATAAAATATTGAAGCACCTAAACTCTTTGGTGACAGGGTGTGAGCTGTGTATGGCTCAAGACAGCTCATTACCATCAATGGGATGTAAATTCTATTTATGAAAAAAATCAAACTGTATAAAGATAACTTCCTGTGTTGCACTAATATTTTGTATAAATGAAACACCACGTAGTTGATTCACTAAAAGCTCCACTCAAGGCAGCAGTTCAATTCCTTGTTGATATGTTTAGTTAGTTTAACAAAACATTAAACGTGTGCAATTAGTTTCGTTCCGAATGTAAATTTGTACGAATTTCATGCCATTCGGACAATCGGATGCTTACGAATGTCCAAAGTCCCGAAGTTCCGAAGTGACGAAGTTCGGTAGTTCAGAGGTGACAATGCTCCAAAGTGATTTGGATTTCTGAAAAGTGGCAAAACAAGAGAGAGGGAGGGAAAATTCCATGAATTTTCCTATTGATTGAATATTTATATGTGACTTAATTCTGTATTTCTTCTCTAATAGTTGATTTACAGCAATTTTGCTATATTTTTCTCCCTAACATTTAGATGGTATTTTGTCAAGTAAGTGCTAATTTTATGCATTTTTAAGATTTTGTTTGTTTAAAGTACATACAGTGAAATGTAATACTTATATTTATCATCTAAAGGGTATCACAGAATAGAATGTATTCATATAATAATATTTCCATTCTAAAAAATACTTAGAAGTTATTGCTCAAGAGTGAATTCTCTTTCTTTGTGAATTAGGAATGGATTCAAAAGGGAACACCAAAGGTCTTTTGGATTTCAGGATTTTTCTTTACCCACTCACTTCTAACTGGAGCACTGCAAAATTATGCTAGGAAATACAAGACTCCAATTGACTTGCTGGGGCTTCAGTTTAATGTGACACAGTATGAGAATACTCATGAAATTGACAGCTCTCCTGTAAGTTCATTTATTTATTTATTTTCATTCTTGTTTGTTATCATTGCAAGATATTTTTGTTCTATTATTAAGGGAACACTCAAAGCGCCTATTCAATGCTATAGTGGCCATGGTGTCAGGAGTGCCTTGGTAACTCTTCCATTATATGTAGTCAAACCATTGTAGAACTGTTTGACTTCTTACCTCGGGTCCATCTTCTCTGCTTCCTAAACAGGAGTTTCCGTTTGCTCTCCTGAGCTACCTCATTGGTTGAGATTGTCAGCTTATGGCCAATAAGCTATGCCCTGCACCACTGGGCTTAGCTCAGATAGAGAGCTTCAGACTCCCCATAGGAAGTAGTAGAGGTGTAGAGCGGTAGCTCCAGTCATTGAAGTCAAACTGTTCTAAAATGGATTGACGCCTTGGTGAGGTGCTAGAGCACACCTGGTACTATTACCACTACAACTTGCTTTTTTATTTGCTTGCCTCTTTCTCTAATAAGCAAATCCTTGGACTCCATTCATCCTAATGGAACAACCTATTCCACCATGAAGTGTCTGATCTCTTGTCCTGCCAACCAGCTTGTTTACATTGGAGAAATGTTTACATAAACCCCTGGATAGCAAGAAAGCATAATGAAATGCAAAATAGAGGTGCTTTACTTTCATGTAGAAAAATTAATAAGAACCATTGGCACCCAGTAATGGTTGCAGCTTCATTTTATATTTACGATCAATAAAAAACCATGAGGGCATGTGATCCTTATTAATTTTAATGATACAGTAACTTATTGAATTACACCCTAGGTGTCTCACCACTTGCTCTTGGGTGGAAGATAAGTGAGGTGGAGTTAAGCTGTTTGTTTTTTTGTTTTTTTATTCTAATGTATTTAAAGGGACACTATAGTCACCTAAACAATTACATCCAAATGAAGCAGTTTTGGTGTATAGATTATGCCTCTGCAGTCTCACTGCTCAGTTTTCTGAAATGTATTAGTTAAATCACTTTGTTTATACAGCCTTATCGTGCCTCTCTGCAAGTAATGTGAACTGCCTTCCTAAACACTTCCTGTAAAGAGTCATCTAATGTTTGCACTTCCTTTATTGCAAATTATGTTTAATGTAGAATGACTTGTCTCCTGCTCTGTTAATAGGTTGCTAAACCGTGCAGGAGCCTCCTGTATGTAATAAAAGTTTAATTTACAGAGAACTAAAACTTTTAAAGTAAGTTACATCTGACTGAAAATGCAACCATTTTGTTTTTCATGCCGGCAGTGTCAGTCACAGCCAGAGGAAGTATGGCTAGGGCTGCATGGACAAAAACAAAAAGTAATTTAACTCTTAAATTGAAGAGAAGTGAGCAGTGAGACTGCAGGGGCATGATCTATATATTAAAAGTGCATCATTAAAGGAACACTACAGGGGTCAGGAACACAAACGTGTGTTCCTGATCCAATCGTATGAAAAAAACTAAATTTAGGTTGCTTACTCACCCCTCAGCCTCCTTAAAAGGTAAGAAAAATTACCTTATTTCCAACATCGCGCGGGTCCGCCATGGGTGACCCCACCCCAGATCTGCCTCCTTGCTGACGGCAACAGAATTTAGGATTTCAGCGGAAATTGGCAAGGAGGCAAGATAGAGGCGGGTCAAACGCTGGTTCAGCCAATCAGCACCTCTTTATAGAGATGTATTGAATCAATGCATCTCTATGAGTAAAGTTCAGCATCTCCATGCAGAGCGTGAAGACGCACACTGTGCAGCACTGCCCCAGGAAGCACCTCCAGAGGCCATCTGAAAAGGCAGTGTTTGCCTGAAAATACCTGCAGGGACTGGTTGTACTCACCAGAACAACTACATTAATCAGTGATTGTTCTAGTGACTATAGTGTCCCTATAAGCTATTTAGGTGACTATAGTATACCTTTAATAACAAAATATCAATTAACTCTATTATAAGGTCTATTTAGCTTTTTGTTGGTTTGCAAGTGTAAGGCTTCACCCAAAAGTTTAAGCTCTAGTAATAAGGTCTGAGTTAATAAATTTGTCAGACTAACCGTAGAGTATATTAATCCAAACAAGTTAGGAAAGGCAGTTACAGCATTATAATAAAGTGTGAAAAAGAAGAAAAAAGGCTGCGCACACAGATAAAATTGGAAAAAATAAAAAAGTTATTTTTAAATAAAATAAAGTCCAATTAGAAAGAAGGAAAAGTCCAATGTTATTGTCCTTACAGATAGTCTTTGCTGTTGACGTCTTCTACTTTGTAGTGAGTCCACTTATATGAAAGATAAAAAGAGAGAGGGGGACAACCAATAGTGTAGTATGTAGAGTTCTAATATGGATGTGTAGAAATAATAATATAAAACTCACATTTATCAGAGCTAATGTCCTAGCTCTGGAATAAAGCGCATACGGCGGTTTGATCCCCGCTTATGGGATATAGATGGGTTCCTCTCTGTGATACGTGTCCAGTTTCTCGAAATAAAAGAGACAGCCAATAGTGCTCACTGTATAGCAATATTGATAAAATAATAAAAGAATGTACTTACAAAACCAGAGCAGACCAACTGCTCCGTGATGACAGCTTGGGTGGATTGATCCCCACCTTGGATTTCTTTAAATGCAGGAAACTTCCAGGGGTTTTCAGGTTTTTTTTTAAAACCAATAAAAATAATAATTAAAAAGCCAGGGTAAAAAGAGTATTATGTGTCTATAAAAAAAGATTATTGGCACAAACAAATGACCAAAAAATACTTTAATATATTTACAAACACAATAATTAAATATCCATAACGCGTTTCGTCTAAGACTTTATCAAATGGAATAACAGATGATACCTGGCTTGTAGGTGTTATATAGGAACATAACTCATTTGAATTTGGCGCCAAAAATTGGTCCGTCCAATCAGAAACAGAATCACATTTAAAACTTAAAATATGTTCAAAACTTAGTCAGTATATAATTTATAGTAATATAACTTGTTTCTAATGGTTAGAAATCAAAAACGAGGGTTGGAAAGTATAATTTAGAACATTTTAAAACAATCACGTGACATACGGCACTTCCGCATTTCGGAAGTTTTCGCCGCAATGCCTTATGGGAAATGTAGTTAAAAGTTAGCCGCGACCGGCGGCCGCATACAGAAGTAAAAAAAACGATAATCATACATAACCTAAGAAGATTTAGTGCCTTGGAGGCATTTTCATTGTAGAGCATAGATTTTAAGTTATAAATAAAACAGGTAGGCAGGGGGGCACATAACTAATACATTACTTCCTCAAAATGGAGGTTTTTGCCCAAGTGCAACCTGGGAAATGTAGTTATCTTTAAAAATAAATAAATAAAAATGAAGTATGGAAGTTTCACCATTGCAAATTAAAATAAAGGTATACAGAATAAGAACTTAATTTGTAAAATACTGGCAACATTAATACAATAAAAATAGATGTATAAAAAGGGATTGTATACATAAAAAGAATATATAAGCCATTCATATTATAGACAGCAATAAATAATACAAATATTATTTAACATAAAAGTCATAAAAAATTGTGTAGATCAAAGTCAGCATTAAGACCATGGGGTATAAGAGTCTGAAGTTTATACACCCATTCCATCTCGGTTTTTCCAAGCAGTTTTTTTATGTCACCTCCACGCCAAGAGGTAAAGCATTTTTTTATACCAATGCATTTTAATAGGCGTGGGTCCTTATTGTGCATAATAAAATGTTTGGATACTGTATGATTTAAGTATCCATTTTTAATATTTCTGCAATGTTCGCTTAGCCTTATCTTTAAGCACCTTGTGGTCATCCCCACATATTGGAGGCCACATGGGCACTCAAGCAGATAAATAACATTTTTCGTGTTGCAGCATATAAAATCATAAATATTGTACACTTGTTTTGTCTGATTGGACATAAAACTTGAGACTTTTGATGAAATAGAATGATCAGTGGTTTTGCATACAATACATTGTTTACATCTATAAAAACCCTTTGTCTGGGGAAAAAAAGACAGATTTTTGGGAGGAGATTTTTTAGTAAAATTAGTAGTTAAAATAGATTTAAAATTGGGTGCTCCTCTAAAAACAATATTTGGATGAACAGGTATAATAGAGCTAAGTATCTCATCATGTTTGAGTATATGCCAGTGTTTTCTTATTATTCGTTTAACATCTTTACTTTTATTATTAAAATTAAAAATAACTGGGAGTACTATTGGTTCATTGTTTTCTTTGTTTTTGTATGTTAAAAGTTCTTTTCGTTCTTTTTGTTTGACAGTATTTATAGTAGTGTTCAATTCTGATTCTGAATATTTTTTTTCCATGAATTTATTTTTTAAAAAATCCGCTTGTTCATTAAAATCTGTAAGTTCTGAGCAATTTCTCCGGAGGCGTAAAAACTGGCTTTTTGGAGCACTTTCAAGCCAGGGCTTATAATGGCAACTGGATCTGTCTATAGCCGTATTTACACATACTTTTTTAAAAAATGTTTTTGTTTGGACTTGTCCATTGTTGATAAAAATATTAAGATCTAAAAAATTTATGGATTCTTTACTAAATTCGTGTGTAAGAATAATGCCCCTATTATTGGTATTTAAATGATTAATAAAATCAATAAGATGGTTCTCAAGTCCATCCCAAATAAAAAAGAGGTCATCTATGTATCGAAAATAAGAGACTAGGTTTGCCCGCCATTGGTGATTACCCCAGATGGCTTCAGATTCCCAGTTAGCCATAAACAAATTTGCATAACTGGGGGCAAACCTAGTCCCCATAGCAGTACCCCTTTTTTGCAAGTAAAATGAATCTAAAAACCAGAAATAATTGTTTTTTAAAATAATATTTATACCTTCTATTATAAAATCTATTTGGATATCGGGAATCCTAGCTTCATGAATTAAAATTTCTTTTATAGCTTGACAGCCAATGTCATGAGGAATAATAGTATAAAGAGACTGTACGTCGCATGTGACTAGTATAAAACTATTTTTCCAAGTAAAATCATTTAAAAATTTTAAAAGTGACATAGAGTCTTTTAGATAGGATTTCATGAGTTTGACCGAAGGCTGAAGAAGGGTATCAATATATTGGGAAAGGTTACATAAGAGAGAACCTATCCCAGAAACAATAGGTCTACCTGGGGGGTGTTGCTCATTTTTATGAATTTTGGGGAGAAAGTAGATGACAGGAGTAATCGGGAATTTTTTGTTTAAAAAATTAAATTCATGTTTGTTTAAAATATTTAGATTAAGACCTTTGTTTAAAAAATTAAGTAAAATAGTTTGTATATTTTTAGTAGGGTCAGATACAAGTTGTTCGTATATTTTAATATCTTTCAATTGTCTGTGAGCTTCATCAATGTACATTTTGCTAGACTGGATGACTACTCCACCTCCTTTGTCGGCTGATTTAATAACAATGTTTTTATCATTTTGGAGTTCTTTGATTGCCTGTCTTTCGGCATTTGTGAGATTATTAGTATCATATTTCTTATATTTAATTTTTTCTAAATCTTTGTGAACAAGTTTCTCAAATAAAATCAAAGGGGCTGATTTAAAATGAGATGGGTAAAACTTAGATTTTTCTCTAAGGTGTGTATTTAAAAATTGACTTTTATCTGTGTTTTGTAAAGGGGGTGAAGTGGTTAAAATTGGTTCTTTGTCATCTTTACTTATAAAAAATCTTTTAAGTGTAGCCTTTCTAACAAATTTGTTTACATCAAGAAAGGCTTGAAATGAATTAAAAGATGAGGTAGGGGCAAATTTAAGACCTTTACTTAAAACAGACAGTTGTGCAGCTGTTAAAACTTTTTGAGAGAGATTAAAAATGCCATTGCACGAGTTGGTAGAGGGTATTATTGTCTTTCTAGTCTTTCTCTTTTGTTGCCGTCTTCCACTTCGTCTTCCTCTAAACTTAAAATTCTTTTTTGGGAGCGTGATGGGTGTGGTGTCTGGGCTAATGCTGGTTGGTGAGTACGTATCTCTAAAAAATGATCCTCGTTGTCAAAGTCTGAATCGACTGATAGTAATTGATACCTATTAGTGTGATTTGGAATAGTAGGTGATTTAGAGTAATTGGAATATGTATTATGATCATTGGTATACCTGGGTCTTTGTGGTTTTGGTGAAAAGTTGAAACCAGAAGAATTTTGATATTTAGGTGATCGGGGTGCAGGATTATAATTTCGATGAGGAAATTTTCTTTGTTTGTGTGAGGGTAGTTGGTATGCATTGGTGTTACCTTGAAATGGAAATTTGGAAGAAACGTGAGATTGATGGGGAAAAGTTTTTAATGTGAGTGGGGATTGGTGATAGGATCTCCGTGTAGTGTTGTTCTGATAATTTTGGGGTGGGTGTTGTGACATATTGTTGTAAGAATAAGCATTTTTATACGCATAGTTTTGGTGATTAGGTCTAGAGGAGTAATTTTCTGAAGTATACTTTTTTTTGTAATGGTAAGTTCTTACTTGTTTGTTAGAGTAGTCGGTTTTATCTCGAATGTATTTTTTGATTTTTAGGTGTTTTGTGTCAACTTCAACCTTTTCAATTTTATTTTGAATAAGTATGGAGTTTTGTTTATAAGCCTTAGTTTCGGTGAATGGTAAAAGTTGTTCTCTAAGTTCGTTTATCTCGATGTCTAGAACAGACAATTTTTTACTTTTCTTGACTATTAGTGTTTCCATTAAACCAAAAGTGCATAGCTCTAATTTATTGTTCCACTCCTCCATAAACTCAAGATCATCTTGATCAGAAGTGGGTAATTTTAGAAGCCTTAAACCACGGGGGGTAATTTGCTCATCTATATATTTTTTAAAAGTGGCAATTTCCCATTTAAGCTTTATTTCTGTGGATAGGGCTTTCTCTAATTTCATAAAGAGATCTTGTTGGTTGGAGTATTGAGGAATTGTTTGTATAGTATTAATTATCTCTGTATTAAATACATTATTTACATCAATAGTATATTTGTTTCTGAATTCAAAGATAGACATTGTAAAAAGTTAAAAAGCAGCTATCCCAAAAGGGAAATTGGAGAAATGGTAACAAGGAAAAAGAGAAAGACAGCGCTAGATAACTTATAGGCAGCAACCTTTTAAAGGGGATCCCTCAAACCCTTTAATTTGGATAAAATAAGAAAAAGAAGAAAAAAGGCTGCGCACACAGATAAAATTGGAAAAAATAAAAAAGTTATTTTTAAATAAAATAAAGTCCAATTAGAAAGAAGGAAAAGTCCAATGTTATTGTCCTTACAGATAGTCTTTGCTGTTGACGTCTTCTACTTTGTAGTGAGTCCACTTATATGAAAGATAAAAAGAGAGAGGGGGACAACCAATAGTGTAGTATGTAGAGTTCTAATATGGATGTGTAGAAATAATAATATAAAACTCACATTTATCAGAGCTAATGTCCTAGCTCTGGAATAAAGCGCATACGGCGGTTTGATCCCCGCTTATGGGATATAGATGGGTTCCTCTCTGTGATACGTGTCCAGTTTCTCGAAATAAAAGAGACAGCCAATAGTGCTCACTGTATAGCAATATTGATAAAATAATAAAAGAATGTACTTACAAAACCAGAGCAGACCAACTGCTCCGTGATGACAGCTTGGGTGGATTGATCCCCACCTTGGATTTCTTTAAATGCAGGAAACTTCCAGGGGTTTTCAGTTTTTTTTAAAAACCAATAAAAATAATAATTAAAAAATTATCAGAACAACACTACACGGAGATCCTATCACCAATCCCCACTCACATTAAAAACTTTTCCCCATCAATCTCACGTTTCTTCCAAATTTCCATTTCAAGGTAACACCAATGCATACCAACTACCCTCACACAAACAAAGAAAATTTCCTCATCGAAATTATAATCCTGCACCCCGATCACCTAAATATCAAAATTCTTCTGGTTTCAACTTTTCACCAAAACCACAAAGACCCAGGTATACCAATGATCATAATACATATTCCAATTACTCTAAATCACCTACTATTCCAAATCACACTAATAGGTATCAATTACTATCAGTCGATTCAGACTTTGACAACGAGGATCATTTTTTAGAGATACGTACTCACCAACCAGCATTAGCCCAGACACCACACCCATCACGCTCCCAAAAAAGAATTTTAAGTTTAGAGGAAGACGAAGTGGAAGACGGCAACAAAAGAGAAAGACTAGAAAGACAATAATACCCTCTACCAACTCGTGCAATGGCATTTTTAATCTCTCTCAAAAAGTTTTAACAGCTGCACAACTGTCTGTTTTAAGTAAAGGTCTTAAATTTGCCCCTACCTCATCTTTTAATTCATTTCAAGCCTTTCTTGATGTAAACAAATTTGTTAGAAAGGCTACACTTAAAAGATTTTTTATAAGTAAAGATGACAAAGAACCAATTTTAACCACTTCACCCCCTTTACAAAACACAGATAAAAGTCAATTTTTAAATACACACCTTAGAGAAAAATCTAAGTTTTACCCATCTCATTTTAAATCAGCCCCTTTGATTTTATTTGAGAAACTTGTTCACAAAGATTTAGAAAAAATTAAATATAAGAAATATGATACTAATAATCTCACAAATGCCGAAAGACAGGCAATCAAAGAACTCCAAAATGATAAAAACATTGTTATTAAATCAGCCGACAAAGGAGGTGGAGTAGTCATCCAGTCTAGCAAAATGTACATTGATGAAGCTCACAGACAATTGAAAGATATTAAAATATACGAACAACTTGTATCTGACCCTACTAAAAATATACAAACTATTTTACTTAATTTTTTAAACAAAGGTCTTAATCTAAATATTTTAAACAAACATGAATTTAATTTTTTAAACAAAAAATTCCCGATTACTCCTGTCATCTACTTTCTCCCCAAAATTCATAAAAATGAGCAACACCCCCCAGGTAGACCTATTGTTTCTGGGATAGGTTCTCTCTTATGTAACCTTTCCCAATATATTGATACCCTTCTTCAGCCTTCGGTCAAACTCATGAAATCCTATCTAAAAGACTCTATGTCACTTTTAAAATTTTTAAATGATTTTACTTGGAAAAATAGTTTTATACTAGTCACATGCGACGTACAGTCTCTTTATACTATTATTCCTCATGACATTGGCTGTCAAGCTATAAAAGAAATTTTAATTCATGAAGCTAGGATTCCCGATATCCAAATAGATTTTATAATAGAAGGTATAAATATTATTTTAAAAAACAATTATTTCTGGTTTTTAGATTCATTTTACTTGCAAAAAAGGGGTACTGCTATGGGGACTAGGTTTGCCCCCAGTTATGCAAATTTGTTTATGGCTAACTGGGAATCTGAAGCCATCTGGGGTAATCACCAATGGCGGGCAAACCTAGTCTCTTATTTTCGATACATAGATGACCTCTTTTTTATTTGGGATGGACTTGAGAACCATCTTATTGATTTTATTAATCATTTAAATACCAATAATAGGGGCATTATTCTTACACACGAATTTAGTAAAGAATCCATAAATTTTTTAGATCTTAATATTTTTATCAACAATGGACAAGTCCAAACAAAAACATTTTTTAAAAAAGTATGTGTAAATACGGCTATAGACAGATCCAGTTGCCATTATAAGCCCTGGCTTGAAAGTGCTCCAAAAAGCCAGTTTTTACGCCTCCGGAGAAATTGCTCAGAACTTACAGATTTTAATGAACAAGCGGATTTTTTAAAAAATAAATTCATGGAAAAAAAATATTCAGAATCAGAATTGAACACTACTATAAATACTGTCAAACAAAAGGAACGAAAAGAACTTTTAACATACAAAAACAAAGAAAACAATGAACCAATAGTACTCCCAGTTATTTTTAATTTTAATAATAAAAGTAAAGATGTTAAACGAATAATAAGAAAACACTGGCATATACTCAAACATGATGAGATACTTAGCTCTATTATACCTGTTCATCCAAATATTGTTTTTAGAGGAGCACCCAATTTTAAATCTATTTTAACTACTAATTTTACTAAAAAATCTCCTCCCAAAAATCTGTCTTTTTTTCCCCAGACAAAGGGTTTTTATAGATGTAAACAATGTATTGTATGCAAAACCACTGATCATTCTATTTCATCAAAAGTCTCAAGTTTTATGTCCAATCAGACAAAACAAGTGTACAATATTTATGATTTTATATGCTGCAACACGAAAAATGTTATTTATCTGCTTGAGTGCCCATGTGGCCTCCAATATGTGGGGATGACCACAAGGTGCTTAAAGATAAGGCTAAGCGAACATTGCAGAAATATTAAAAATGGATACTTAAATCATACAGTATCCAAACATTTTATTATGCACAATAAGGACCCACGCCTATTAAAATGCATTGGTATAAAAAAATGCTTTACCTCTTGGCGTGGAGGTGACATAAAAAAACTGCTTGGAAAAACCGAGATGGAATGGGTGTATAAACTTCAGACTCTTATACCCCATGGTCTTAATGCTGACTTTGATCTACACAATTTTTTATGACTTTTATGTTAAATAATATTTGTATTATTTATTGCTGTCTATAATATGAATGGCTTATATATTCTTTTTATGTATACAATCCCTTTTTATACATCTATTTTTATTGTATTAATGTTGCCAGTATTTTACAAATTAAGTTCTTATTCTGTATACCTTTATTTTAATTTGCAATGGTGAAACTTCCATACTTCATTTATTTATTTATTTTTAAAGATAACTACATTTCCCAGGTTGCACTTGGGCAAAAACCTCCATTTTGAGGAAGTAATGTATTAGTTATGTGCCCCCCTGCCTACCTGTTTTATTTATAACTTAAAATCTATGCTCTACAATGAAAATGCCTCCAAGGCACTAAATCTTCTTAGGTTATGTATGATTATCGTTTTTTTTACTTCTGTATGCGGCCGCCGGTCGCGGCTAACTTTTAACTACATTTCCCATAAGGCATTGCGGCGAAAACTTCCGAAATGCGGAAGTGCCGTATGTCACGTGATTGTTTTAAAATGTTCTAAATTATACTTTCCAACCCTCGTTTTTGATTTCTAACCATTAGAAACAAGTTATATTACTATAAATTATATACTGACTAAGTTTTGAACATATTTTAAGTTTTAAATGTGATTCTGTTTCTGATTGGACGGACCAATTTTTGGCGCCAAATTCAAATGAGTTATGTTCCTATATAACACCTACAAGCCAGGTATCATCTGTTATTCCATTTGATAAAGTCTTAGACGAAACGCGTTATGGATATTTAATTATTGTGTTTGTAAATATATTAAAGTATTTTTTGGTCATTTGTTTGTGCCAATAATCTTTTTTTATAGACACATAATACTCTTTTTACCCTGGCTTTTTAATTATTATTTTTATTGGTTTTAAAAAAAAACCTGAAAACCCCTGGAAGTTTCCTGCATTTAAAGAAATCCAAGGTGGGGATCAATCCACCCAAGCTGTCATCACGGAGCAGTTGGTCTGCTCTGGTTTTGTAAGTACATTCTTTTATTATTTTATCAATATTGCTATACAGTGAGCACTATTGGCTGTCTCTTTTATTTCGAGAAACTGGACACGTATCACAGAGAGGAACCCATCTATATCCCATAAGCGGGGATCAAACCGCCGTATGCGCTTTATTCCAGAGCTAGGACATTAGCTCTGATAAATGTGAGTTTTATATTATTATTTCTACACATCCATATTAGAACTCTACATACTACACTATTGGTTGTCCCCCTCTCTCTTTTTATCTTTCATATAAGTGGACTCACTACAAAGTAGAAGACGTCAACAGCAAAGACTATCTGTAAGGACAATAACATTGGACTTTTCCTTCTTTCTAATTGGACTTTATTTTATTTAAAAATAACTTTTTTATTTTTTCCAATTTTATCTGTGTGCGCAGCCTTTTTTCTTCTTTTTCTTATTTTATCCAAATTAAAGGGTTTGAGGGATCCCCTTTAAAAGGTTGCTGCCTATAAGTTATCTAGCGCTGTCTTTCTCTTTTTCCTTATTATAATAAAGTGTGTTTGCTTTGCTAACATATATGTTATGTCTTTATAGCTTGATGGTATTTACATCAATGGTCTTTACATAGAAGGGGCAAGGTGGGATCGAGAGAACCATGTGATTTCCGAATCTTTCCCAAAAGTACTGTATGAGAGTATGCCAATTGTATCCTTTTACACAATACCTGTATACATTTCTTCTAATGTTTTATATTGGTTTAACATGCTAACATTCCAATTTATTTCTTTGTGAATATCTATTTATATTAATTATTTCAGCATTTTAAAGGAACTCTCTGAGCATTATAACCTTGTGTAGAGCTTACAAAATTGACATACACCTACTGATGATGGTTGGCCAGTGATAGGAGAACATCAGCTGACACTAGCAGAGCAGCAGAGAAGAGGCAGTTGATGAGTGCCTGGGTTCACTACTTCTGTGTTAAACCATTTGAAATTAAGATAAAGTGGTTATGGTGTCCAGAGAGTTCCTTTAAATGAGTTGAACCTATTGGGGGGCAGTTGTATTCCTTGCCATCATCCCATTGTGCATCTTGATGGCCTTATTCCAACATTGAATGTACTCCTTATTATCAGGGGAACATCCACGTCATTACATTTTGAAAAATGGTCAACAACATTCCATGTTACAAAAGGGTCTTTAAAGTATGAATTGTTATAGGTCCTTTCAGACATAAGCCATAGGTGACAACATGACAATTCATGTATTATGTCTAGTTGCCACAAAGAAAATTGCTTTATATTTACATGGAAGCATTTATTATAAAGTCACTAGTTTCCAAAAACATACGTTATGGCTACCAAGCAATGTGAAGGAAATAATACATTTTTATTTAAATGCTAACCAATATCACCTTCATAAATCTGATGACTTTTTGTTTGAAAAAAGACCATTAAAGCCATATGTATTCCCACGGAATCTTTGCATTTAAAAAAAAATCATACCATTCAAAGTAAAACATCAATTACGTTTAAACAATCTGTTGGTTTTAATACTGTTTCGCTTAATTTCATTTGTATTATTGCAATGTTATTGTCATTTTACCAATATTGATAGTTTAGTAAAAGGAAAAATCATACAGTATCAATGTAATTATATGTTTACATGATATTTAAATACATTTTAGGATATTTTAATGTGCTGATTGTATTCCTTCACACACTTAATAAGATTTGGTTAATCCCGGGTGAAAAAAGGACTGAAATTAATTCGTTCTATGCTTGTCCAGGTAAGAACCTCTGACTTTTACAAATTATTTATAAGAAAAAATTTGCTGTAGATATAATGCTTTATTAAAAAAATATATATATATATATATATATAACACATTTTTTAATTATATAAATAGAGTGAGTTCAAATATATGACAGATCTCATGACCCCTCCCACTACGCCTTGCGATACCTCATGTCGGTTGCCTTGCTTTACATGTTTGTCATATGGGAATTAGGGATAAACTGTCAGGATAGAAACTTGTTTTCTGATATGTATAGCCATATCATTATGTTTGATGCATACAGCTTGTTTTTTATGATTAGTGTATTTGCTCCCTTCAAAGGACTAATAAACCTTGATTTACAAAAATATATAATTGGCTTCCCACCTCTGACAAGGAAAAAAGGAAATGTAAGATGAAACCTTTAATGACTAATTAAAATTAAAGTACACACTTTGAAGAAAACGTGGGTCTCATCTTTATGCAAATATATTACCAACTTACCTTTATTCATTGTTTAGAAAATAAGCCATTGTGTTTTTTTCACTTGAATGTTGCAACAGAACACAATAAAATATATACAAAGAAATAGTATATAAAGTAGGAGCATGCAATAGCAAATATTAATTAAATGTTGGGGATGTACTTGTTAAGCTGTTTTTTTACCTTGCTAAGCTGTTTTCTTATAATAATATATCTTTTTTTTTTTTTTTTTATTGTCAGTTTACAAGACAAGTGCTCGACGTGGTGAACTTTCCACGACTGGGCACTCGACAAACTATGTGTTAACAATACACTTAGCAACAGAAGAACTTCCAAACCATTGGGTGAACAGAGGAGTTGCTTGTCTCTGCCAATTGGATTATTAGGTGTACATCTAAAATACACAAAAAATATTCTTGTAAAGTTGGACCAATATGTTAGTCATTTTATATTCTAAATGCAGTTGATAATATAATTTAATGAACGTGAATATTTTACTAATTAAGAACATGTATAAATATTGTTAACTATTTAGAACTATTTTGTGAGGAAATATTAATATTGTGTCTAAATTTTTATTCATCTTTACATTATATTACATACTTTTTACAAAATGCAAAGGGACTGAAGGGAAGTCTATCCCACTGTACAGCGCTACGGAATTTACTGGCGCTATATAAATAATAAAATAATAATGATATATGACTGTTACAAAGGGACATGAATAATGTAAATATTAAAATAACTGTACTTTTACTTTTCACTTTAAAAACAGCTTAGACTGTGTTTGGCTACTTCTATGTCTGCAGAATTTTTACAGATTTTTTTTTTTTAACCAAAAAAATAATACCAAATTTTTATCTAACTTGCACTTACCATTGGCCCATTGAACATTCAACGTTGATTTCCTGTCTGCTACATGGTGGAATGCTGTGAACTAATCAGCTCATTTTATTAATCTTCGATTCCGATTGGCGAATGGTTGTAGATGTGTCTGAAACAAATATTAGAATATGATGTGTGCTGGCAAGTGTGTGTTGGCAAACAATCAGGACAAACATTAGATGTCTTGATTATCAATTCTTCCTTAGTTTACTAAACTCTAAAATTGTCCTACACAATTTTAACTTGTACTTGTTGGGAACTACAAATAAGCAGCATATAAGCCACCCACCACACTTGTTTTATGTCTACATAATAGACTCACCCTAGAGCCATATTCTAAAACAGACTAGTTTTAACATATTTAAATATATATTTCTACTGAGCATGTAAAAATGCTCTATGAAAATGTGTTTCAATTTGTATCTAGTATAAACACAGATGGTATAAGCATTTTCTCTTATATAAATTCTCTTATATATACATACTCTAATAACACAGTTTTCACACTCAATGAAGTTTCCTATTTCAAACCTTGAAGGCCAATTCTTCAATAAAGTAAATATGGTTGGTGGGAATTTCTATTATAACTTTAATTTAATATTTTTGGATGATATTTTTAAATGATTTAATATTTTGTTTTAGAATAGCCTTTAAAATGATTTAATATTAAGAAAAAAATATTTTAAAATCTTGATATTTTTTTTGTATATTATATAATTTGTATTTATTATTGTGTATATATATATTTTTATATTTTCATATTTTTTAAAAAATTTTTAAAAGTTTATCCAAAAATTTTAAATCATTGCAAAACTTTAACAAAAATATTAAATCAAGGCCTTAGTCTGTGGCATTAAACGTAATTACAAAACAGAATGTTCTGGAAATATTTTACAACATATTATCTTCTTATATAAACACTATTACAACTGTTATTTTTTTAGTAGGGTGTTCAAGGGATAATTGTCACAATGTGCAATGGACTTTGGGACAGAGGGCTCAATCACTTGTTCTTCAGTCTAGTCTCTATAGCTTTAAATGTTCTGTATATCTCCAGCTCCATAGAAGCATCAACATGTACAACATCAGAGCTTCATACAGTAGCCAAGCTGTTAGCAAATAAAAATCATTTCACTTTGTGTAAAAACAAAAATAAATGAACAGTCCATTAATTATAAATAATTAGCTAAATCCGCATCACTTATGTGTATGTTACATATTAAAAACGTACTTTAAAAAAAATGACAAAGTAATAGCATATAATTGTAATGTTTTATACAATTAGATGTTTGAAGTATCAGCACCTGTCTAATTAATTTATGCAGAACAGGATGTTGTTGATTACATCATTAGCCCTGTTCTATGGATGTGCATCGAAATAATGAATATAAAGCTACGGATGAAGAAATAAAGATGCTGTTGCAAACTAAACGGTAGACTATTCTATCTTTCCGCTTGTATATTTGACTTTATACATAAAGGTAATTTAATATTGGGGGATTTTAGGGGGAGGTTTCAATACCATCTTGCAACATGCATTTATTCACGCATTGACATGAAATTTGGTTATACATAGCATCGTACATCAATACTACTTTTCAAATGTTATATCAAATTGCATAATATTGACATTGTATTCCTTTTCAGTATATACATTAGGGAGCTTACCTACAGCATTTGGCACTCATGGTGGATCCTGTGTTTGCCCCCATCCCTCCCCCTCATAAAAAATGTTTTAAAAAAATTATTTCTAATGTTTTTTTTTATTTATTGTCTTCTACAAAACACCTGCCCAGTCCACCTTCTACAAAAACCCTGCATCACCCTCTACAACAACCCTGCACCCCCTCTACAAAAAACCTGCCCAGTCTCACTTCTACAAGCCCCCCCTTTCTACAAAACTCTTGCCTCCTCCACAAAAACCCTGCACTCCCTCCTCTACAAAAAACCTGCACCCCCTCTACAAATCCCATGCTCAGTCCCCCTTCTAGACACCCCATCTACAAAGCCTTTGCCCAGTCTCCCTTTTAAAAATCCCCTACTCCCCTATAAAAAAAACCTGCACCTATTCCTCTACAAAAAAAACTGTACCCCCTCTACAAATCCCCTGCCCAGCCCCCGTCAAGACTCCCCTTCTACAAAGCCCCTGCCCAGTCTCCCTTTTAAAAATTCCCTGCTCCCCTCTACAAAACCCCTGCCCAGTCCTTCTTTTACAAAATCCCCTTTCTACAAACCCCTGCCCCCTCTACAAAAACTTTGCACCCTCTCATCTACAAAAACCCCTGTCGAGTCCCCCTCCTACAACCCCCTTCTACAAAAACCCCTGCCCTGTCCTCCTTTTACAAATCCCCTGCACCCCCCTAAAAATCCCCTGCCCACCTACAATCCCCCTGCATTCTCCATTCACAAAAAACCCTGCCCTCCTCCAGGGCCAGACTGGCCCACCGGGATACCGGGAAATTTTCCGGTGGGCTGCAGCACTTGGGGCCGGTGGAGAGTGCCCTAATACCTTATTATGGAGGGTGGGGCTTGGGGCCGGTGCGCCCGCATTGAGAATGCGGCAGCCGGAAGGAGCACTACAGGGAGGGAGCTTTCTGGAACCCAAGCTCTGCCCCGATCTCAAGCTCCGCCCCCGATCTCAAGCTCCACCCCCGATCTCAAGCTGCTGACTTCAGGGCAGAAAGAGTGCAGGAAATTAAGTTCTCAACTCCCCGGGCTTCCACAGCAGCAGCCTGCAATGCCAGGTAGACTTCAAATGCACTGCAGCTAGTGAGTGAGAGTGATCTTGTGTGTGGGTGTGTCTGCCTGCTGTTGTGAGCATGTGTGTGTGTCAGTGAGCATGTCTGTAGTGAGCATGTATATGTGTGTCAGTGAGCATGTCTGTAGTAAGCATGTATGTGTGTGTCGGTGAGCATTTCTGCATTAAGCATGTATGTGTGTGTCAGTGAGTATACCTGCATTATGCAGGTATGTGTGTGTCAGTGAGCATGTCTGTAGTAAGCATGTATATGTGTGTAAGTGAGCATGTCTGTGGTAAGTATGTATGTGTTTGTCAGTGAGCATATCTGTAATAAGCATGCATGTGTGTGTGTCAGTGAGCATGTCTGTAGTAAGCATGTATGTGTGTTTCAGTGAGCATGTCTGTGGTAAGCATGTGTGTGTCAGTGAGCATGTCTGTAATAGGCATGTATATATGTGTCAGTGAGCATGTCTGTAGTAAACATGTATGTGTGTGTCAGTGAGCATGTCTGAGATTGCCTGTCTGTGAACTTGTGTGCTTGTGTCAATGAGATTGTCTGTGCCTGCGTATGAGTATGCTTACTGTATTATTATTAAGTTTTTACCATGAAAGGACTAATATTTATAATTAAAAAAAGAACATACCAATAATAAAAGTATATATATTTATATATATTTTAGTGATAGTGTTAAATATTCCAGATTGACTAATTCTAATTCATAAATATATATTTATGAAATATGTATGCCAACCCTATAAGTCATTGTGCCACAGTAGGGTTTGTGTTGTGTGTATATGTGAATACACACCCCCATCTACAAGACCCCCTGTACCCATCCCCTCCCCTCCCTCTACAAGATCCCTACACAAAAAAACACTTTGAAACAATATTAGCAAGCACTCACCCTGCTCCTCCACCTGCTCGCTGCTCCCTGCTGATCCGGCACCCGGGGCGTACCACCCCCCACTACCACCTCCGTATTAGTACGCCACTGCATACATTGTACTTCCTTTGTTTGACCAAGGACCAATGACCTGTAAACTATGTAAGTTTTTTAAAGTTAAAGCAGTTCTGTCAATCCCCACCCCCCAAATCATAAAAACTGCCAGGGGTGTTCACTAAATGACTAAAAATGACCCAATTCCAACCACAGTGGCAATTCTCATGTTTTCTAAAGCGAAACACAGTCGGACAGTAAAGCTGACTGAATCAAAAGCCCGGATACATCGGGTGTATTAAAGTGTTTCACATTCAAATCCTATACAAACTATAGAAATTCAGAAAATTCCCTAAACATATATTTAAAAATAATCAGAGCTGAGTGTGTCAGTCAGGATGTACATTCACAAATTATTGTTCTCTTGCCTTTTGCAAGTGAGTAATAGCTTCAAGTTCTATTTACCAGATAACAGCACTAGCAGCCACCAGGTGGGGGACATATCTACTAAAAACTACTTTAAGTCTAGCAAATATTAGGGCCCTTTTCACTAGAAAGGCCCCATCCCTTATGATAGGGCATGTAAAATAATAGGGAAGGAACGTAGCAACCCCCCCACAATCCCCCACTCATACACATACATTTCCACTCATGACCATCAAGTGGGATCTAGTTATTATTTTATTTTATTTTTTCTAAAATGTATGGGGACATTCTAATGTCCCACCTGCAACCACCTGAGTTCAGCGGGTAGGGACTACTAATTTTAACAATTTTATACCAATCGAGTCACTATCTCCACCAATGCTCCCATACATTGGTGGGGGCTCTAATAATATTCTTGTGGACCTAGTGTTCAAGCTTCCACCCATGGGTGTCTGGTGGCAGCTCTAAATGATTATACACTGGGGCATAGACACCTCCCCCACAAATGTCTAGGGGTACCTAATCACCTAGTCAACATCCCTTAAAATAAAATAATCCTAAACCTCTCACATAATTATAGTGAAGGGAACAATTAAACTAATACATGTAAAAAATAAATTATACTAACCTTGTGAAGTATTTTTTCTTGTAAATCTTATCAGTCCTAAAAAAGGCCAAATTTAAATCTGGAATATAAAATGCTAGTGAAATACACACAAAAAAAAAGAAAAAGTCAAAATGGCAACACAAAAAGTAAATCCATCTTCACCCAGCAAGGGCTCTGCACAGAATGAGGCTTCAAAAGTGGACAAGCATTTACAAAGTCATTCCCACACTTGGAGTTCTCATTAGAGTGCTCTTACTAATTGGTTTGTAAGCCAACCAATCAGAACGCTCTGACAGGCAAATCTCACATGCAAGAGTACAAGACTTGCGAGAGTACAGTGGAAAGTTCTAAAGAATCCCAGGCTCACCTAGTAGTTTCCACAAATAGGCAGACTTTATTCAGGAACAGTGCCCAACATTTAAGCATTGAAATGTGCGTTTTGTGAAGCCTACTTCAATAAAAGAAAAACCTGCATTTATAGCATAAACATATTAAATTAAGACATCATAATTAGAAAATTAAACACAATCCTTGCCCCATCAGGCCCAAGCATTCACAAGGCCAAATTGCCGTTGAGAGAACGACACCATGATGCCTGACATCACATGCAAAGGGTCATATCACGTGCAATTGCACCATGATTGCAATAGGTAAAGAAAAGCAAATTAACAAAAAATAATTAAATAGGGTGCATGTGGTGGAAGAAAAAGTCTTCCGAGAATCACCAAAACTGGGCTTCTTTTGAACTTTCCAGTGTGATTTTGTGGTTTTGGCTTCCCCTCTTTGAGCACCCTGGTAGAAATACTCCCTATGTCTGTGTGCGCATTTCTCACTACGTGTACAAATACTGGCATATGAAATTTCACAAACTGAAGAGGGCCTCGTGGCAGAAGATGACAGAGGTCACAAGGGACAAGTTCAGATAAGTAAAAACTACCTTCTACTGCAGCCCTGGATCAATGCACTGCAAGCAGAGCATTCGCCATCTGGAGTCCTTGCAAAATGTGCAAATATCCCAGAATGTTACAGACTGCTTTACAAACATAGAACATTTGACTACTTATTCAACAAACAGTTTGCCACAAGGTAAATGTCTGCATATTATACTTGGTACTCTGTTCGCAGTAGTTCAGTTTGACTTACAAATCAACAAAGATTTGCAGTGTATGAATTTTAAAAATGCAAATTAGTTTTACTTTCATTAATATTATCTTGTTATATTATGTTCTTTAATGTGTTTGTGCTTAAATGAAATTGTACACATCTGAATATTTCTCCATCCCATTATTATCCTGCTGCCAGTTATAAACTAGAATAATTTTGGCATGCAAAAAAATAATTATTCTAGAGGAAACATTTGGAAATGTGTTTATAAATAAACATAACATGTTTGTATGGCCAAATATATATAAAAGTAAATGCAAGGTATGAATTTTTATTCAAATTGGGTTTTAGCAAATTTTATTTCCACTGCAGTGGATTAGTAAAAGTTTGCCGAACTATTTTGAATTGCTACTTGCATTTCTGATTAGAATATGATCAAATACATTTTGGATTAAGCCATTTTTGACTTATGCTTCTTTTTTGTGTCAGGACTCACTATCACAAAATATACATTTTTAATGGGTAGTATAGGAGGGAGGAAAAAGGAATGAAAGATGTATACCAAATGAGTCATTAAGGCAACTTTTCAGTATATAGTGATGGGCAATACTTAAAACTTAAAGGAAACTGATATATGTTTTATGATTATTGGGAAAAAAAATTACTTGTAATATAACTTGAAAAGGATGTTAGGAGTTACGCCTCAGGTCAATCCCAATACATGAAAGAGAAAAAAAGCCAAATAGTGTAGTGATTTAAAATAGAACTGTAAGAGATAAATTGCATGGTAATGCACTTACACTTATTAGATCTATTTTAAGTTCGTCTTGATGCTTTTGAGTGGGTTGATCCGCACTTTTGGATATAACTTTGATCCATTTTGGAACACAGGTTTTCAGCTAGATATTCAATAAAAATGATACATAGAACTACATGTTGGAGTATATTTTAATAGCAGTGAGATGAATAAATATGCACTCACATGTAATGGAGCCTATAGTAGCTCAACTTTGACAGCATAAAGTGATACAATTCCCACTTTGGAATAAATGTGCTTTAAGTGTCCTCAGTGAGGATAAGCAAAATAAAACTACATACATCTAGTGCACACTATAAGTAGCTGTGAAGAAAAGCAAAAATAAACATACTTAAATGTTATTCTTAAAGTACCAACATACCAGAATTGTACACTATAGGGCAGTGGTGCCCAAAAGGTAGAACTTCAGATGTTTTAAAACTACAGCTTCCATGATGCTTTGTCATTCTAAAGGCATTCTAAAGACATAGAAAGCATAAAGGTAGTTGTAATTCAACAACATCTGGGGATCTACTTTTTTGGGCACCCCTGCTATAGGGAATCTAGAAAAAAAAATACAGATGTGTCAAGACAAAAGGAATGGAGGATCCGGCATCTGCAAGTGCATCTACAGCACATATATAAAACGTAAAAGCATGATAGCTTTTGAGCTGATGACCAAGTGAAGAAAGAAAGACTGAGACAAAAGATTGCAGGGCAAATTAAACATGATTGCCAGTTGGTATGACATTGCAAGCACTGTTTGGGCTGACAGTGAGTTAAGGAGATATTAATCTAAATTAGTGAAGATTACACACTTGGAGGATTATGTTATAAAGAGGATAACATCCATTGTGGGTGGCAGTTGTAGATGAAAGGTGGCCTGTGGTTGTCCATTGTCCGTAGTTGCAAGGGTAAGTTTCAGAGGAAGGATGCTGCTGTGTGAATTTACGTTAGTAAAGAAAATCAAAAGGAATTCACAAATATTACAAATGGTTATGAAGTGCACTGTGTTGGGGTGAATGGGCACGGGAAGCAGAGAAAGAACAAAGCAAAGTCACTTAACAAAAGGTCTCTGAAAAACAAGTCACAGTAGGCAGGATAATTTAGGGACAAGGCAATGCAGCACAGGTCCAGAACCAAAAGAGGAAGTATTTAGCAGGATAATCTAAGCAGGACCAGACAGGGTTAAGTTATGAATACAAGGCAGAATCAAAGTCGCTCCATAATAGTTTGATTAATTAAATAAATATACAGTTGTGGAGGTGGGGCTTGGCTCTAGACAGTGATGGCCGCCTAAACTCTTTCTGCTTCACGTCCTCGTGTTAATTAGCCCACTACTTCCGACTATACCCACACAAATGGGGAAAAATAATAGAACATCTGGCTCCCAGAAGGCTGCTGCACTTAAAAAGGGCTTGCTGCCCCCATGCCTCCACCAGTACCTTGCTACCCCGGCAGACCTTGCCACGCCGAGAGAGAGCTGTTAGGTACCTGGGGATATGGATAACTAGGGACCTCACTCAACTGTATGAGACAAACTTTACTCCAATGCGGTCCATGTTGTGGAAAAATTTGGCAGATTGGATGCTACCACACATATTCTGGCTGGGGCGCATCGCGGTGACCAAGAGGTGACCTGTTTCAGATGCTCCCCATCAAGATCCCCGCCGCGTACTTCACATCCCTAATATCACTCCTAATAAAATACATATGGGGCTCTCAGAAACCCTGCATACGTTACCAAGTTCTGACCAAACCAAAAGCGGAGGAGGGACTAGCAGTCCCTGACTTTCTACTATACTACCACTCAGGGCCGGTGCAAGGATTCTTGCCGCCCTAGGCAACAATCCATTTTGCCGCCCCCTCATGAATGCAGCTACATTCCATTTAGATGTTTATTCACTAAACTCTGAATTATAGTGAAGAGACATTTTCCACTTCTTAATAAATGATTGAACAGTACTGACTGGCATTTTCAAGGCTTTTGATATCTTTTTATATCCAGTTCCACCTTTATAAAGTTTGATTACCTTGTTATGCGGTTCTTTTGACAGTTCTTTTCTG